TTGACATAGTTTTTTTGTTTATTGCTACTAAAAAATGACCTAAAAGAGTTTGAACATATATATTCACATTCTGACTTTTTAAATGCCCATTTAATTAGGTGTGTGAATTTTTTCTTAATGAGAATGTGAGGCAATGTGGTATATAGGGTAGAAAAATCAAAACTTTGAACAGATTCAAAATCACCAATATATGCATGCAATTTATCAAGTACTTCCAACGAGTTCTTGACACTCCAAAAGTAATTAATTCCACTATTTTCGAAGGCCTTATTTGAACAATTTATTATCAGGTTTTTGATTGTACCAAGTGTACTGGTAAGAAGAATAGACAATTTAGTAGTGGAACAATGGCTTGAAGACGAAATGAATCTATATTTGTAAGGTGTTTTGTGTAGCTTCGGAAGCCAATACATAGTTGGGACTTTCATTGTATTTGGTTCTGCTTTACTCACAGCACTACAATGTTTGGTTTTTGTCGAGCCTTCGACTTTTGTTGAAAAAGCGAGACATAGCGATCCTACATTCCGTCGGCGTCGTCGGCGGCGTCCACAAATATTCACTCTGTGGTTAAAGTTTTTGAAATTTTAATAACTTTCTTAAACTATCCTGGATTTCTACCAAACTTGAACAGAAGCTTGTTTATGATCATAAGATTATATTCAAAAGTAAATTTTGTAAAAAAAAATTTCCATTTTTTCCGTATTTTACTTATAAGTGGACTTAGTTTTTCTGCCAGGAAACATTACATTCACTCTGTGGTTAAAGTTTTTGAAATTTTAATAACTTTCTTAAACTATCCTGGATTTCTACCAAACTTGGAAAGAAGCTTGTTTATGATCATAAGATAGTATCCAGAAGTAAATTTTGTAAAAAAAAAAATCCATTTTTTCCGTATTTTACTTATAAATGGACTTAGTTTTTCTGCCAGTTAACATTACATTCACTCTGTGGTTAAAGTTTTTAAAATTTTAACAACTTTCTTAAACTATCCTGGCTTTGTACCACACTTGGACAGAAGCTTGTTTATGATCAAAAGCTAGTACAAAAATGTATCTAGAAGGAAATTTTGATAAAATTTTGTTCCATTATTTTCCGTATTTTACTTATAAATGGACTTAGTTTTTCTTCAAATCAACATTACATACATTCTGCAGTTTAAGTTTTTAAAACATTTATTAGATTCATAAACTATCCTGGATTTTTACCAAACTTGGACAGAAGCTACTTACAATCAAAAGATAGTATAGAGAGGAACATTTTTATTAATTTTTTTCCTCATTTTTGTTGAGCCTGCGATTAACACCAAAAGTAGGCGAGACACTGGGTTCCACAGAACCCTTACGAATTTTTACTATTATATGAAGGGCCATATGTATCTTTTTTTTTATATTGTTCAATTCATACCTGAGTATACAATTAAAGAAACAATTCAAATTCAAAGTTGTTTAAGTTTATCATTTCTAGTTGCACAATTATATTAGTCTTCTTGTCAGAAACAACAAACTTAATATCTAGCACTAAAAAGGAACTTTTTTTATATTAAAACGGAAATGGAAGTATAATGTATAAATTAAAATTAAATTACAAAACTATTCTGTTTATCATGTTTATGAAATCAGGAACAAATATATTGACATACATGTATATTATTTACTGTACAGATGAAATTCAGTGTTTCTCATTAAAAAGATATATAAATCTAACAAAATTAAGCAACTTTAATCCATAAATTAAAACAATGCATATACATGTACATGGAAATATATACAAGCAAGTAGATCTAACCAAAAGTCTGCTAATGCATGCAGAATGCATAAATTTTCCGTTTGGGATCAATATTCTTTAGTCAGCTGTGCAATTTGTGCTTCCTTAGTTATTATCGTAAGAATACGGATTTCGGTCATAGCTGGTCCACTTCCAATGAATCCCGCCTCCAATCCGTAGTTCATACAAATATTTCAATGGCGGACGAAGAAAATTTACAAAAATGAACGATGTTTGACAAGCTTTTTGGAAAGGAATATGACGTTTTTTAATGCAAAAAGTGGATTAAACATTAACTAAAGGCAATTTTCATCACGTTCTTATAAAGTAACAAATTTATTTTACCGAAAATTAGACTAAATTGATGTACACTCTTGAGTAACAAGTACCAGAAGTGATACAAAATTGTCTTTATGAAATAAAATACAACCAACTGTAAAGTCAATGCTTTCACCTATTTTCTAAAGAAATAAATTGTTTACATGTCTTTGAATATCTTTACTTATAAATGAAAAATTGCTGTTTCATCGACTTGGTCAAAATTGAAAATTGACTATAATGAAAGCGACTGAAAGCGAGTATTGTGAACAACAGAGCGACTAGATATTGCTTTTGACGGATGGGCAAGCGAAGTGATGGACAGGAAAGGGACTTTGTCACCCCAGTCACCTGCTAGCATGAGCCCTGTACAAGGACAATCCCCAACCCAACACAAAGGGAGTGGTAGGACACCAGGCAGGGTACTGTTATTATGGTGGAGAAAGTTGAAGTACGATGCATAATATGATTATCGTTAGCTTTAGGAACTGTATTATATATATCACTAGATATTTTCGTATTTAAAGGATTTTTCTTTAAAATTTTACATGCAGTGATGATAAGTACAGTTCCTATGAATAAAACAGCAGACTAAATATTCACGGAAGTGACAATTACGGAAGTAAATTGGAGTGGGTGGGGGGTGGGTTTACCGGACGGATATAATTACCGGACACTACTGTACTAGGAGAGAACCACCAGGCTGCTCAGCAGGAACAGACAAATTGAAGAGATATCAGCAGATTGATCTCCAAGTCAAAGTCAGGGACAACTTTGACCAACCAATGCCCCAAAGTACCCATTCCACTTAAAACTCTGGTCTGGAACCACAGATGTGTGAGGGAGGGTGAAAATCACCCTTCTGATGTAATGAAATTTCCAGCACCCCTAGTCAGAATCAAACTCGAGACCTTCAGCACTGTAGCCATCGATCTTAACCACTAGACTAATAAAATGCTTTGCTGAGCACAGCTGGATACGACCGCAGAGGTCCAACCCTGAACAGTTGGGGCGAAAATGGACACAATATTCGCGCTTGATACAGGTCTGAATTTGGATTGTATTTAAATATTTGATACATAATAGGTTTCTGACACCGAATAAATGTAGTCAAAGAACTTAGAATTGGTTATATGATTTGAATTTATATTCAATTTTTTGCTTTTGTGAAATACACTATGCTGTTGCGTATTGACCTCCCCCCCCTTAAAAAAAATAAAATTGTTTACCCCCCCCCCCCCCCCCTTTTTTTTTGCAAAAAAAAATATTTGAAGAAATTTTCTTTTTAAGTTCTGAAATCTGAAATGGAAAAAAAAAATGGCCCCCTAAAATTTCATTTTTACCCCCCTCCCCCTCCCCCATTTCCAAAAAAAAAATCTTTCCCTCAAGATATGGTCATAATCTCAATTTAAATTTCCAATGGAGTTTGCAACCATAACTACCAATTTAAATACATCATAAAAGTCTTAAATAGATAATTTAAAAGCAGTGTAAGGGAGGTAATCCAACATTGTGTAATTTTGTTTTTGGATTACCTCCCTTACACAGCTTTTAAATTGTCCATTAACCATGTAAACCCTTATTTTTTCCCAATTTTTGTCCCTAATTCCTAAACGGTTTGAGCCATAACCCCCAAAAGCCAATTCTTACCATCCCTTTGTGGTAATGGGGATATAATATCATAAAAGACATTATAAACTTTTATTTTATTCACTTTAACTAACTAATTTTATTTTAAAATTATATATTTTTCATATCGTAAATATAAAAATATCCGCTTTTTCGGTTAAGTATTTAAAATTTTAATACTCATTCGATAAGTGGAGTGCTCCGATAAAACGGAGGAATATACCAGAACAGAACAGAAATGGGGGGTCGGAGGGGTCCTGTTCCCGAAATCCCGGCCTAAAAAACATGAAATCCTGAGGTCCCGAATTTAAAGAAAGATAAATCCAAACATCCCGAAATTCGAAAAAAGAATTCCCAGATCCTGTAAGGATAAATCCTGAAATCACGAGCTTAAAAACATCCGATCCCGGAGTCCTGATAAAGGTCCGACCCCCCTCTGGTATGGAAACTTGTGGTATAATTTCAGAGAGATCCATACACTTAAATTTTATTGTTATTGTCTGGAAGTTACAAAAATGCTTATTTTTGGCCCCTAATTTCTTAACTGTTGTTTCATAACCCCCAAAATCATTCCCAACCTTGCTTTTGTGGTATTGAACCTTATGGTAAAATTTCATAGAGATCCATTTACTTAAACTAAAGTTATTGTGCGAAAACCAATGTGTCTTCGGACAACGACAACGACACCAACACCATACCAATATACGACCGCAAAAATTTTTTGCGGTCGTATAAAAACCTACACATACAAAGGCGGATCCAGGATTTAAGTTAAGGGGGGCGCAATCTTAAATTTTAGCCGAGTGCAGCTATGCGAAAAATTTTTTGAGGTAAAATTATCGAAATGTTCTTAAGCTGAGGACAACCCATGCTTTTCAAATTTAAGGGGGGGGGGGCACATGCTCGCCACGCCCCCGCCTGAATCCGCCGCTGATATATAAAACATACAGCAATAGTCTATACTTTTTCTTAATAAATATTCCTCGGATTAGCGAATTTTACAGAACTTTTTCATCATGTTCATGTGCAAATTTCAACTAACCCTGAATTAAATACTTCACCAAACTTTCAGGCATTTTATATCTAAATTATTCATTACATTTTTTTATGGGGCCGAACTCAAGACTTGTGCCGGATCGACATGGGGCCGGTACGACCGAAACCATATTGTGTGTATCACCAGACACCAGCGTCAGCGATCACAGGCGCTTGGGTGCAGGATTTGTTTTTTTTTTATTTTCATTGTTTGCCCTGAATATTAAATTTCTCTACTGAACTTGTCTGCGTACCTACTTAATTGGTAGAAAAACAAAAAAATATTTTTTTCTGCCACCCAAAACATTACAACTTCCTGTTTACTGCAAAGGAAGTGTCCACAGTATCCAATCAGAAAACTCTTTATAAATCATGTTTTAAAGTTTGTTGCCAACAACAACTTGTACGGACTGCAACACATTTTCAAATATTATCAAGGATCAACATCACTTACCAAAGAATATTCACGTACTAGTGTCGACATGGGGGTAAGACAAAACTTTGAAACGAAGGCATTGATAAAAAATCAAATCATAGTTTTATTAATTTAATCATGTTTAAACAGGAGCTTTAAAGTAAATATTTTGCTTGATTTGACAAAATCATCATTTGATCTGACATGTGCTGAATTATAATATGAGACAGGTGCTATCTGAGTGTGAGCTCTGTTCATCTTGTCATCGGCAATGTCAAATGACTTGTCATGTGCTCACTTCCCACTACAATCCAATTTTCCTGCCGAAAATTGGTTGCCTGTTCCAGCTTCCTCAGGCTCCACTCTTTAAAACTAAATTCAGATGCTTCCACATCTAGACATAACTTTGAATCAAAAGACATTTTGGTAACAAGACAAATCGAATTCTAGTCACTTCAGCACCTTGTCAAATCGGCAACAATATTCAATTCAGCACCTAGTCAAATTGCGACCTGCTTTATTTGGCACCCAGAGTATTTACATGTATTTCAGCACCCATGATTAAAATTATGTTTTGCTAGTAAAATACACTTTTTTATTTCCTTATTTATTTTTTTTATATTTTCACTTGATAATGGTGCCAGTTTGGCCTTCTATCATGTCTATTACTTCTAATTTTCACAAGATTAAACCACGGGGACATAGCTAGCGAATATACACACTTAATGACCGTTACATTTGGGACCCATTGAAGAAAAATATTACACAGTTTAAGAGATACAGTAATGATGAGAAGTTTGCATACATATGTGTCCCTCTGACAGCAAGAGGGTTAAATATTTTTTTTGTATTTCCTATTTATTTGTATTAAGGTTCATCATAACAAATGGACAAAAGTGGCTGTATTTACACCCCAAAAACTACTCTTGAGTACTGACTAACCTGTGTAGTTGCAAAAGTTTTAAGGCCTGGCATCCACTACCATGTATATTATATTTAAGTACATTTTGTTTTTCAGAAAGATCAAATTTTTTTTGGATTTTGATGGTCATTTTTTGTTTGTTTCTGCTGTTGGTGTAAAAATAAACACCTGAATTACATTTGATACTGTCCACTCAGTTACACCCTTTAACTCACCTATTGTTGTGTAGATATCTATTGTCCATGTCAATCAAGGACAATCAATACAATACAGTTGTTACATTTTTTGTACATATACCTGAGAGGGAGCATCTCAAAGATTTAACCCAACTTAGGAACAGAAAAAAATGCCCATTAAAATCCAAAAAAAGAATTTAGCTTTCTGAAACACTAAATGCATTTAACTTTTATATATCTAGTGGATGCCAGGCCTTAAAACTTTTGCAACTGCACAGGTTAGTCTGTACTCAGATTAGTTTGTCAGGTGTAAATACAGCCATTTTTGTCCATTTGTTAGGATGAACCTTAAATAATTTACATTGGCACCAAGATTCTTATTTTTTACTGGCAATGTGCAGAATACTATCCATGTCAGTATATATGATTGCTAGTAAACATACAAAAAATGGTGCTAATGTTATTCATTTTATACAGGTAAACAGGAAATGCAGAAAAAAAAATTACATTGATTAAATTTGTGTTTATCCTCATCTGTGGATTAAACAACAGCTTGCCTGGGAAGAAATACGTTCTCTATACCAAGGATTAGTATAGTGTTATACAAATCCTTGTCCATACCTCAAAAAAGGAAAGAAAATGTATAAACAGTATATTAGGTGCCATAACGACTTTAAATAGTGTAGATTTGACTTTTTCTATATGTGCCTAATTGACCAGGTGCCAATTTGACTTGTATAGCCACCAAAACAGCACCTCCTACATAAATATGATCTTAGCTTAGTAAGCCTTATTTTCCATTATTTAAATTCTTATTAAACTTTCAGGCTTTATCAATCCCAAAGTTTTTTGTGCCTTTTCATTATCTTTTAAGTTTCATGATGCTCATATTGGTCATTTGAAAACCATCACTGACATTCAGATTTCAATCGTCTTTCATGCATTCCCTTGATATGAAACTTTATGTAAGTATTTGGATTAGAAGAGCAAGATATTTTGGGCCAAATCAGATTACAAATATCAGATACCAATAACATTAAAGGCAATGAGTGTACTAAATCATAATGTATGCTTTGGACATCCTATTTTGGTGTACTCTGGTGAGTTACTGATTCCCAGAATATAGGTAACCATGAATTAATCTTATGTAGCCATATAGATATTATTAAAGTATTTTTATTGTAAATAATAAAACATGTAGTTGCATGTACATGAATAGTTTATTTATTTTAACTGCCATTTTTAGGGTCAAACAGCCTGTTCGTACTGATCTTTAGGAACAAGTAGTAAAAAGTGGTAAAAATCGTACAGTGATAATCTCTGATACATTGCTATTCTGCAATTAATTTCTGTCAGAAGAGCATTGTAGAAATGATAAAACAAACATTACACATCTATTGACGTATTGTATTTATTTTCTAAATAGCATTTTCATGATCTCCAGAAACACCTGCAATAAAAAAAATAATGTTAAAACGATTAACAATAAAACCTACAAATATATATATCCATATGGCTATTCTCCAATTTATATGTTCTGTCAAACATAAGTAGAAGACATTGATACTGCATATGTTGTATATAGATGCTAAAAAATAGGTTTATTTCATATGAATTTTTCTTATTATGAGTAATATGATAACTAGATTTGATGTTTGCAGTTTTCTTGTCCATTAGACAAGGTAAACCTATCACCTTGACCTCATTTCATGGATCAGTGATCAAGGTTAAGTTTTTTGGCCTATATCTCAGATAAATAGGTCAACTATATTTGGTAAACAGAATGATTAAATTAATGTGCCATTGGTTAACAGATGCTGGATACTGATAATGGAAGTATTAAGTGCAAGTTTGTTGTATCCAAGCATTTAACCTTATATTGTTCATTTAGGAAGAAGACCGTTATTGTTTCATTGCTGAATGGTATGACCCACATGCAGCCTTCATACGCAGATATCAGTTTATGTATTATGTTAAAGACCAAACAGCAGAAATGGTAACACCATTACATTAAATATTTTGCCAGTTAGCTGAAAAATGATATGGAAATATTGTAATTTAAAAGAAAAGTTGATTCCTAATTTGAATGAATTTTTTTTACTATTACAAAAAAGAATAACTGGAATTTAATTCATCTTTTAAAATCTTAATTTATACAAGATATAAATAAACTTCAAAGTAGACCAGTAGCTAGAGGGTATCATGTGTGTCCATTAGCTATCACATTCTTAAGTGTTCATTGGGGATATCAACATTTATATTTTAACATAAATCTCAATTGTTTATCCTTTAAAAAAAATTATCACACTGATACTATGAAAATGTTGCATCAAATAATACATTTGATATGTTGTGACAAAGTTTTATATCCATTTGCAATATATAATGTTGTATCTTTCAGTTTGACATTAAAAATCACAGAGTATTTCTGAAGAAGACAAAAGTAAGTGACTGTTTACGACTAGAAGATTTATATATTGGTAGCACAGTAAACATCTTGTCCAGACAGCTGAAATTTGTAGATTATGGAGATGATTATACTCGAACCAGATTTTCTCATAAGAAAGAAAGGTTTGTAGAAATAAAATGAATATATAAAGCAGTTACTTATACCATATTTAACAGGAAGGTGGTTATTAATAATCAAATTTTCATTTATAATCATATCATCCATATGGACCTGAAAGTCTTGCGGTGCAAAAAGTCGTACTGAAACTTTGTCAAATTTAAAATGCTGTTTTCTTGTTGTTTCTAATTTTATATGGAAGCCCAAAAGTAGAAGCAACCTTTTGCAGTTTTCTTTTACTATTATCATGACTGAGTAATAGGTCAACTATACATATGTGTTCCATAGTATGGTTATAATTAAGGTGTGCATGTTTGTGTGACAAGACCTTAATTATCAAAGTTAAATTTTCATTCTTGGGTAAATATTTTCATTTGAACTATTATTTTTGTGGAGAATGGTTTAAAGGTATACATGTCAGGAGTCATCCTGACCTTGTATCCCTTTTATGATTTATTTATCAATATCTTGTTTCTGCTTTCAGGTCACTTTCTCATTTACTATTAGTAAGAGGTAATTCAGGCTGTTGGTTTTCTCATTTGAAAATTATTCACATCTCCTTATTTTCATAAGCTTTATTTGGTTTATAGAATGGTTGTAAGAAACATGTCAATTGACAGAAGATAATTTAAACTTGACTTCTATGCACAGTTTAATGATCAAATCATCAACCTAAAGATTTGACCTTGACCTTTAGTTGTGGTTCATTCATCAAGTTGAAGTAGTGTGGCTTAATCAGTTTCTCAAGTACTATCTATACTATTAAACGAGAAGACCTCATTTTGTGTGTCGCTTCTCTTCCTTCCACAATAAATAAATCATCATGCCTCTGTGTCCTATAGGTACCTTGCATAGTCGCATTTTTCATCCATTCTTATGATTATTCAGTTTGGGTTATTTGGGGAGAAAATCGAAAATAAAGACGTCGGGATATTGTTTCCGTCATCAGACCGACTTTTAAGTCATAGACAAGACTTCCGCTTTTAAACTTATAAATAATTTTCATAAGTCCTCTGGGACAGGACAATCATTTTCGCGTTTATCTGCATGTATACTATGATTATACTACTATAATATATAGAGGATCTCTATAGATTATAGCAGTGATCGCCGTGGAGACGAAACTTGAAATTGATAGTTAATAGCACATACTCTTTATTTATAATATACCTATGTTCATAGTATACAGAAACGCGATAAATAATGGAATTCAACAGAAAAATAAAAAAAAATAACGGACTTTGGAAAAAAGAGAGAGGGCTTAAAAATATTGTCCTGTCTCCAAATACCTGTGATTTTTGATAACTTTTCTGAAATTGTCCAGACATAACAGTGGCGGTTCTAGAAATTTTCATAAGGGTGGGGGGGAGGGGGCACTGACTGCCTAAGAGGGGTCCCGCTCCAGTCATGCATCATTGATTCCCTATATAATCAACAATTTTTTCCCACAAAGGGGGGGGGGGGGGGGGTCCGAGCCCCCTGAAAAACCCTCTAAATCCGCCTCTGCATGTAATCTTTAACAAAAATTCATCCTACAACAATTTACATACTTTCAACCAAGCTCTAAATGCCAGCGATTTCGCGGGTGTGTTCTAGTAAGTAATAAGTGAACTAAATTTGTCCATAGAATTATCATAAGCTGTACATCTAACCTTCTGATCTTATTTTCATGGTTCATTGATAACTGTTCTTAGATATTAAGTAATAGTATCTTTGATCTCTACAATAATTATAAGGATGACATGTCTTTCTATCAGAATTCATCTGGCCTTGAACTAATTTTTAAAGTTCATTGATCAGTATAACTTTTAAAAGTTTTTATGATTCCTGCAGTCTTAACAGCTGTTAAACTATTATTAAATAAAAATTAGTTAAGCAGGGGAGAAATTTCATTGTGCCTAATCTTGTATCTTTTTAGATAAAAGATGCATGTTTCAGAAAAAGGGTGAAGGTTTGGTACCATTAAAACATTTAAACCGGCTGCATTTGTTTGCACCTGTCCTAAGTCAGGAATCTGATGTTCAGTAGTTGTCGTTTGTTGATGTGGTTCATAAGTGTTTCTCGTTTCTCTTTTTTATATAGATTAGACCGTTGGTTTTCCGGTTTGAATGGTTTTACACTAGTAATTTTTTGGGGCCCTTTATAGCTTACTGTTCGGTGTGAGCCAAGGCTCCGTGTTGAAGACCGTACTGTGACCTATAATGGTTTACTTTTATAAATTTTGACTTGGATGGAGAGTTGTCTCATTGGCACTCATACCACATCTTCTTATATCTATTGGTTGAAGAACTGTTTCGCAAAAAAATTAAGAAACCATTTGTGTAATTTTTTTTTTTTAATGCATCTTTAGGAACCAGAAAATTTGAACTTCCAAACCTAATCATTTGATTTCTCAATAATTGGATTGTACTAAACCTCAATTGTTAATTAAGAACTGAAAATAAGTTACATTTTACAAAAGCAAATAAATAATGTGCTATTTTAAAGATATATTTTACTTTATGTGTGCCAAAATCAGACTATATATATTTGTACAAGTCATGGAGATATATTTTTCTTTGCATATTTCAAAACTACTTTCATATTCAATTTTTTAACTTGTGTAAGAATTTCAGGATATAACAAAAAAATAATATCTCTGCTGTATTTGATAATGCAGGATTGTGCTGACATGACAAATGTTCTAACAGCAAATTAGTCCCAACATTGAAGATTTGTTGTGCTGATTTAAAAAAAAAATCTGTATATATGTAAACTCTCATGAGAGTTGTGTTATTTTCTATTTGCAGAACATTGGGTATGATAAAACCAGATTCAACTGCCAAAATGGGTCAAATATTAGATGTGATATATCAAAAAGGATTTATGATTACACAGTTAAAGATGTGTCAGCTGAATAGAAATGAAGCTTTCCAATTTTACCAAGAGCATCAGGGAAAACCATTTTTAGAGTGAGTACATCAATTATTTTGCAAATAAAGGTTACTTGAATATTTATAACTGGAAGTGTACACAAAATCCAATATAATTTTTTTCTGTAAAATCTTTATAGGTCATTTTTATTTGCACCTGAAAAATGTACTACCATAGATGAACTGTTATAATACTTTTATTTCTCCGGGAAGGGATTTTCTAGTAACTTTTGTTTGGTAAGCTAACACTTAATCAATTGATGTATACTAGATATCATGAAAAACAAAGCATCAATAGAAATTGATTTCACAGCAGGAAAAATCATATGAACTGATAATGAACACCATGATTAACATTATTTTAAAAAAAAAAACAAATATAAAAATAAGGAGACATGGTATAATTTCCAATGAAACAACTACAGAGATCAAAGGATGGGAATTAAACAAGTATAGGTTACCCTATGGCCTTCAACAATTTGCAAAACCCATATTGCAAAGTATTAAAGCTATAAAAGGCCCTGGCATGACAAAATGTCAAACAGTCCCAAGGAGGAAACCAATTGCATGGTTTTCGTTAAAACAATGAATGAGAAACATACTGGCAAACATCAACCAAAGACAACCACTAAAATAACATGTTCCTGACTGAACTAGAATAGTTATATGACTTATTAAAGGTATATAACTTTTCTCTCCACGCAGCAATTTATTAAATTTTGTAACACGAGGACCAGTGATAGCATTTGAAATGATGGGACCTGGAGTTATCTCTGCTTGGAGAGAGTTACTTGGTCCAACAGATTCAGCTGAAGCAAGAAAAGTGGCACCCCAGTCAATACGGGCAAGGTTTGGAAAAGGTTTGTGTTGAAATATTTCAAATGAAGGGATGTTGGTTTTTATATCAGTGAAACAGCAACCCTAAACACAATAAACTAGAATAGACATCTTTAAGGCTAAACTAGCAAAAAGTAAAATAACAAAAATACCGAACACCATGGAAAATTCTAAACGGAAAGTCCCTTAACAAAAGTCAAAATCAAAAGCTCAAAGACATCAAATGGAAAACAACTGTCATATTCCTGACTTGGTACAGGCATTTCCTTAGGTAGAAAATGGGGGATTAAACCTGGTTTTATAGCTAGCTAAACCTCTCACTTGTATGACAGTGGCATAAAATTACACCAAATATGGTTTGGTTTCTGGAACAAATTAAAATTAAGGACTGTTATAGATTCCAATGCATGAGGGGCCCTAATCTGATGTTTAATTTCCTGGATTTTGTACAAATTTAAGCTTGAACCTTTACTATATGTCAAATGTAAAAAAACTAGATTTTGATAACATTTTTGTTATAGAAATGTAACTCTGAAAGATTAAATGATATATGAAGTAATTTACTGCATGTTCATTCAGTAATTAATGTGATGTTTTTATAAATGCCTATAGTACCATATTTTCTTTACCAGTTTGAAGTCTCTCATCTTAGTTGTTTTCTAGCGTCAATCTACTGTCAAACAGAAAATTACAGATTCAGGAATTAACTGATATCAACTCATAAAATTGTTGTTTTTGATACCTTTGCAAAAATGTATTTGAATTATAGGTGATGTTGGGTATACTTAAATGAAACAGCAACCCAACAACACAATACCAACAGACACATGGAGTTCTTAACTATATTTTTAATGTTCATATGATCTAACTTGATATATAAAGTGTTGTTAATTTTCAGACAACACAGAAAATGCGTGCCATGGTTCAGACAGTACTACATCAGCTGCTAGAGAGGTAGAGTTTTTCTTCCCCAGCACTGGACCTGGACGACAGAACACTGCCAAATATAGTGAATGTACATGTTGTGTCATCAAACCACATGCAGTTAAAGCAGGTATGGTTTTGAAGTAATAGAACAACTATTAGGAAGTAAACATTTTTAACCTTATGTTTGCATTATTGCTTGTTCTTTTCAATATCAACAATTTTTTCTGAGACATTAGCTGTAAGATTGTTATGAGAAAACAGTCAGTAATGCAAGTTAATATTAATTAAATAGGAATCTAGTTATACATCAATGAGACAATGACCATAAACACACCTTTAAGCTAGTAAAAATATTTACAACAGAACTCAGATCAACACAATGAGGTTCAACTGCATGTGAATATATTGAATACTTTTTATAGCTGTTTGATAGGAAAATGAAAATTCTGTCAGCTTTAAGTTTTTACCAGGGATGTCATCGAGTACTCAAGTATAGCTCGGTAGTACCGAGTATTGAATACCAATCGGTTTCCAGTTAGAATATTACTGTCTACTTTATATAAAGTTGATCTTCTTGAAAACCTCTTTCGGAAAATTAAATAGGCATCACTGATTAATCATACTAGTAAATAAAATACATTTTGTTTCGAATGCTGAATTGTCATTTAAAATGAATCCGAAAATATGTGGGCTATGTCTACATTCATATATTGTATACTTTTTCAATCTAAAATTAAATATTAAAATTCATGAAAATCAATTAATATTTTATAAAGATTTGCATAAACATTGCATACATATTGTATATTTTTAATGGTGCGGGTTTGCAGTGGTATGAGTTCGCAATGGTATGACTTCACAGTGATACAAATTTACAATGGTATGAGTTGACTTTTAGTGGTACATGTTGACGTGGTACGAGTTTGCAATGGTACGAGTTGACTTGTTTCCTACCTAGGCTAATACTAAGCCTAAACATGCCCTAGCCATTCCTTCACATCGGTACCGTCAGAGCAAATATTTTCCTCTGCAAGGCTGTAAGTTACAAAGTTGCAAAACCGACTGTCCCAATGATAGTTGACAAGAAAATGTATCCAAATAAAAAAATTCGTTGCATCCTCTGGTGACAATTAGTTGATAGTTAAACTTCTAATCCTTACGCCTGTGTAAACATTAAATGTGTTTTTTTAACGATCACCAAATACTATTGTTTGATATGAGTTTTATTTGTTATAATTTTTAAATAGGTGTTCATTAAATTATATTGATTAGATTAATTGGTACTTGAAAGTAATGAGCTATTAATTATGGTGTGTAATTCCTTGTCCAAGATACTTATGTAGATGGTTTTTCATCCGTTGAACAACCACAGAATGTAAAATACGTATTCTTGTGTTTCCGTGTAAAAAATATATTTCCGAGCTAGTACTCGAGTATCGCTCGATAAAACCAACGAGTACTCGAATAGTAATTGCTCACCGAGTTTACATCCCTAGTTTTTACTTTGTAGATGCTTGCAACTAACACTATCTTCTTAAGTAAAAGATTACGACATGAAAATAAATGAAATGTATTCAATGAAATATTGTAGGTCTTTCTGGACAAATTATTAGTGCTATCATGGAAGCAGGTTTTGAAATCTCAGTGTTAGAAATATTCCACATGGAGAAGGCAAATGCTGAAGAATTTTATGAGGTGTATAAAGGAGTAGTACAGGAATATGGTTCTATGGTAGCAGAATTAACGTCAGGTCCATGCATTGCTATGGAGATCAGGGCACAGGAAGCACCAACAAAATTCAGAGAAATGGTTGGACCAGCAGATCCAGTAAGTTGTCATAAGATGTGAAACTTTAGTCATGATAAATGTAAACTAGGATATGAGTGAAAGGAGATGTGTGTTTTATGTCTACATGGCAGCATCCATTAAGTTAATCAAAATAGAAATCAAGAGGTCACTATATAATCCCCAACAATGGATAAGTGCCAGCACTAGAATAGAATATAAAAACAGAAATGACCAAACATCTGTCACCAATAGAAATTTTGAGTGAGCCACTGACTATATTCTTTACATATTACAGGCATACACACTGCTGGTGTTATTAGTCTATCGGTACTTAATCCTCCCTTTCCATTTTCAAGTGGTTAGTGGAACTACTAAAGGTACAGACAAAATCACAATAAAATTAGTCTATAGAAATAACAGAATTCAATAATATTGGTATTACAGATGACAAAAACACAATACCTTATCTCTGATAGTTATCTTGTGTGAAATTTTCTTTTCATGTTGTCATAAACTAATCTCAAAGTTAGTCAGTCAGAAACCATTATTGTAATGAAAATTTTAAAACATATATTTCTGTTATTTCAGGAAATAGCACGCCATCTAAGACCTAGAACCCTACGAGCTTTGTTTGGTGTAGACAAAGTACAAAATGCTGTCCACTGCACAGACTTACCTGAGGATGGATTATTGGAGGTAAGAATTAATATTAAAAAGATGTATGTTTGTTTATAACTTGATGTTGGGGTGAAGCCAACACACATTAGAATCAGTATTTGTGGTTCTAAGAATGTTTTTTATAGGTGCCAGGTTAACATATGAACTTGCACTATATAAATTACATTTGACAGGTGGATTTATTGTAAACAGGACATTTCCATATTACTTAGATTATCAGTCATGAAAAAATGATTGAATTTTTTTTAAAGGATAAAAATTCACATGTAAAAATTGTCAATTTTTAAATGTGAAAGGAGATGGAATCATAAAAATTCATACTGTATCAACATGCAAATCAGAATCCATAGTAAAGTTACATAATACCAGTCATTTACTTAGCTTATTAAGACACACATCAGGAAAATTACAAGAAGTCTATCATTATTAATTTCATGCACAACATTCACCAGAAATGGATTGCAAAGGATTTAATGTTTCTATTTCATTTAAAAAAAGATCACTTAACAGTTCCAATTCTGGAAGATAAAGCCAGGAGACTGGCAAATGATGAAACTGGAATATTAATTATATTTCCTATTTCTATTTCAGGTTGAATATTTCTTTAAAATTTTGGATCGCTGAAACACCTAGAGACATTTTGTTGAATCAGATCATTAAACTCTATAGACAGCTGTGATATCATGTATAATAGAAGGGAATGAACCACTTCAGCATTTTATTTAAGACTTAATGCATTGACAGCAATCTTTTCAAAATGTCCAATTGTAAATATCTAATATTTCTATCAATTTTTACCATAAAATGAATTATATATATTATATTATCTTTTTCTTATCTTCTTGGTCTCATGCTGTGAAAACAAAATGTATAATGAAACCTCATGGTTCATTGGACAATGTTTACTTTTAGTGTTTTGGTCTATTTCTAAGATACAATAAGCAAAAGGTTAGGTATATTTAATGTATGGAATAATTGTAAGGTGTACATGTCTGTCTGGCAGGTTTCATATGACCTTGACCTCATTTTCATGGTTCATTGGTAATAAGAGCGTATTTCACTTTAAAAAAAATAACAGTAATTTTTTTTCAAGCAGACACTTGACATGAAAATGAGGTCAGGGAAAACGAACATATGGCAGGCGGTGACTTTGTAACATAAGGTATGAAGCATCCAGGTCTTCAAGCTTCTGAAATATAAAGCTTTATAAAAATAGTTTATGCCCTGACTGCCAACGTATTGTAATAACTATGTCTCACATTCTGCGACTTTCAGATGAGATGTGTTATAATTGCCAATGAGATAACTTTCACCCAGAAATAAAATGAAGTGGTAGTTTTCAATTATAGGCCACAATACGACCTTCAACAATGAGGAAAAACCAATACTGATAGTTGGCTATAGAAGGTCCATTTCTCAGATACTATAAACAATAAGGTCAACTATATTTGATGTATGGAAAGACTGTAAGGTGTGCATGTCAGTCTAGAAGGGTTCATCTGAACTTTACCTCATTTTCATGGTTCATGGTTTGGTCCGTTTCTTTTATAAACTATAAGCAATAGGTCAACTATAGTATATATGTAATGATTGTAAGGTATATGTCTGTCTGGCTTGGTTTATGACCTTAATCTCATTTTCATGGATCATTGATAATGTTAAATGTATGTGATACTTGTAGTAAAACTATATCTTTAAGACTATCAACATAAATCATGAATAGTAAAGCAGGCGAGACATTTTAGTGTGTGCACTCATGCTTATCATGTGACTGAAAATCAAATCAAATGGTTTTAAGTAAGCATTAAGTGTTTGTTCTAGCTGTCGAAGCAGCTAGTTTATCTGAGGTACTAGAAAATTGCCAAAAAATAAATTTCTGCTTTGTCCGTATCTTCCTCGATTGATTGTTGGCGCTTTAACCCCATGTTAACCAGGCTTTGTTGTATCATAGCAGCCACTTTTTATTGGTTGAGGAAGCAAGTGTCCAGAGAGAACCACCTACCTTCAACAGGAAAACTAGCAATCCTAGTTGAGGTTTAGGTAAAACGCACCTTACCACAAGCTGGTCTACCTTAATTGAAGAGAATGTAGATGAAACAATTTCATCCCAATCTAACTAAAGGCTGTTATTTATCACCAAAAATATTCGTTTGTATTTTCTTTCTTAATTACACATGAAGCCTGAAAAATTTCATTTACCAGAATACCTGCATCCAGTAAATGTCAACCTACAAACAAGTTCTTTAAAATAAGCTATTTTACGCCATTTCTTTTGTGTGATATCATTTATAAAGCAACCCAGTTTAGGAATCGTCCTTCTAATCCATCTTTTTGGCTTATATAATTTACTAAAAAACATTTTGCTTTTTAATTTTTATAGTTTGAAGCAATACCAATTTATTCAAATTCTGTTCAGGTTAACAGGTGCCAGTAAGGGTTTTTTAATGGCATGTACAGAGATTTTCTGTCTACTAAAGAACTATTTTATTGTGTCTAGTGTTCTTGGTGGTGTGCCTTTGGCAAGTCACTTACCAGCTCCATCATAATGAGGTTAAGTGTACTTTTTATATCTGACCAAAGCAAACCTATTCAAGTCGTAAAGTGTTTTGTTCTAGTCGATTTGACCAATATTACAGCCTACTTTTAGAAAGACCTGCACACAAAAATAGATAACAATGGTACTTAAGTTTAGGCATAGATATAATAGCCAATAATAATGGCTATTATATCTATGGTTTAGGTGACCTACAAAACCTAGATACAAAAATATTTACATTTCTGATCGAGATTTTGGGATTTTATACTCCCTTCTAACCTAGGCAGTGACCTTCAAGTTTGATAATGAGCTATGTCTTTTTATTTACTTTATCCTCAAATTTAAAAATAAAATGCTTCGCCGATCACAGCCTGATATGACCGCAGAGATAGAACCATGAACAGTTTGGACAAGTTTGGACACAATATTCAAGCTTGATACTGTCTAAATTTGGATTGTGATCAAATTTTTGACATAATATAGGTTTCTGACACAAAATAAATGTGGTCAAAGATCTTAAAAATTTGAAATGGGACATTTAATTTACCTAGTATGGTCTGATATCCAAAATCTAACAACATGGTTCAGCAAATAAAAAAACACAAAAAATTTAGGTTTAGTTGAAATCAAACAAAGTTTAAAAATTTTGGACCCTTCAAACCTTAATATGGACTAATTTGAAAACAGGGCCCAAAATAAAAAATCTAAATGCACAATAAGATTCAGCATATCAAAGAGCTGCAATAATTCAGTTTTTGATGAAATCAAACAAAGTTTAATTTTGAACCCTTTGGACCTCAATGTAGACCAATTTTAAAATGGAGCCCAATATCCAAAATAGTAATACAAGGTTAGAACTCACAAAAATTAAAGACTTAATTTAATCCCATTGAAAGTGGTTTAAAGATTTGTATTTATTTTCAATTGAAGATTTCTTGCTATTGCGCAATACTGTGCTGTTGCACAATACTTAATCTGTTATATATAATAATTTACATGCTCCTGCTATATCAGTATTTGTTGCTTTTATATATCAATCAGAAATAATCAATGTAAAAATGAAAACTTTTTGGGGAAACAAAACCAAAATATGAAAAAAAATCCCTCCAAAAAATTTGCACCCAAAAAAAATTTGAAATTTGAAAAATCTTGAGGTAATAAGTATGAACCCCCCCCCCCCCCAAAAAAAAATTTTTTTTTTTCAAAAAATATGAAATTTCAAAAATTTTGAAGAAAAAAAATTTGAAAAAAATTTACCTTTATGGTTCTAGTCTGGAAACTAGAAAAATGCTGGTTTTTGGCCCCTAATTCCTGAACGTTTGGGGCAATTACCCCCAAACTCAATCCTAGCCTTCCTTTTGTGATATGGAACTTTGTGGTACAATTTCAGAGAGATCCATACACTTACAAGTTATTGTCCGGAAACTACAAAAATGCTTGTTTTTGGCCCGCAATTCCTAAACTGTTGGTTCCATAACCTCCAAAATCAATCCCAACCTTCCCTTTGTGGTATTGAACCTTCTGGTAAAATTTCATAGAGATCCATTCACTTAAACTAAAGTTATTGTCTTGAAACCAAATGTGTCTTTGGACGACGACGATGAAACCATGATAACATTATACGAATGCAAATTTTTTGCGGTCGTATAAAAAACCACAAGCCATCTATTGTTTTGGAAAATCTTTATACTGATTATTCATGACCCTGAAGTAATAGTGAGCATTGGCCTAGCATCTGCAATATATCATCCAAGCCAAACATTTGAAATGTGAACATTACTCATGTCTTAACCCTAACTTTGCTTTCGAGTGAAAGGAATTACATTTAGCAACCTTTGTGGGAGCAAATAACAGAAAGTAGATAAGCACAAGGGTTTTGCTTACAAATATTTATTTTTTTTAAAATGTCAAGAAGCTAAGGCAAACAGGAAGTAGACAAGTGACAAATCTTAATATGTGTCCCACTGAAAAGCGTAACTCCTTATTAAGCTTGGTACCAAATGTAAAGCTCTGGTTTGTAGTTAAATGCAATGAAAATTTCTTATACATGACTCAATTTGAAAATACATGTACTTGTAAGTCAAGTGATTGATCTGCTAATTTGTCATATGGTATAGCTTTCCAATATGAAGCTTGGTGCCAAATATCTAGAAGCTCTGATTTGTAGCTGCTTGGAAAATGTGACAAAGGGTATAATTAACATTAGGTTCCAGTGTGTTTGTTTAATATCTTAAACTTGCAGAGGTAATCAATACAATATTCTGCGTGAAATAAATGCTGAATATTAATTCAAACGCACAAGAAATGTTCAGAGACAAAATGTCTGTATAATCATTAACAATCATTAGTTTTCTTTTTTGTTTTTTTTTTACATGTCATTTCAGGGCCTTTTAAAGCTTTCTATTGGGTGTGCTTTTTGTCTCAATGTTGAAGGCTGTATACATTTAGTTTTTATGTCATTTGGTCTTTGGTGGAGAGTTGTCTCATTGGAATCATGCCACATATTCTTATTTTTATATCCACTATGAAACTGAAACTTCAGCTAGGAGTCAAATTCAGTGTATGCCTAAGAATGATTTGACATATGGATCTTCTCCATAAATTATAGATCTTTTTTAAGTAAACAAGTCATTACAGAAATGTTTTTTTTATTAAACAACCACATTCAATAAGTAAAAAAATACAAGTTAAATAGATGTTTGTTCTCAGTATAAAAACGAACATCTCTTGGCCTGACATATAAAAAAAAGTTACAAGTAAATGCCGCCCTATTTTTCTTTGCTCTCATTTCATGCTATATCAATACACATACACATCAATGGATTAAAAGTCAAACACATTGGGGCTGGTCCCAAATTTTACCACTGAGAGGACCTCTTACAAAAATGATTTGTTCATAATAATTCTCAAGAAGTTACTAATGCATAATATAATAAAATAACAGTGGTGTCATTACTTTTATCCACTAAAATCTAGAAACAAATCTTCTTTGTAAGAAGTCTTTGAACTATGTTACCAGGCCTTGCTTCCACTCTTCAATGTTTTTTCACTCGTTTTACTTCAGTTGGTAAATTTCAAGTTACTTCTATAATAATATCACTGATAAACTTATCAATCTATGTATAGATCATATGTATAAATTAATTGAATACCAGTTCTGAATTAATTATTCATAATGAACAAATTTTTGGCGGTCAGGTTATCGTGAAGGCAAGGCCTGTGTAACTATTACAAAATAAAACACTGTTGAAGAATAACTTGGCACAATTCTTGCTCAAAAATGGTTTCACAACTAAATAAAGTCAGGATATGGCAGGTATTTACAATCAAATCCCATCCAGTATTTTCCAAATTGTTAGTTTAAATAACCCTTAAGAGGTAGACTGTATACCCCCATCTCCTTTTAATCATATATACCATTCATAATGTAAATGAAAAATTGATTGTCACTCCAAAACTATTTCAAAGGTAAAGAAACTAAATGTTCAGAATTTCCACCAGGAGGTTAGTTATTGGTAAACAAATTTTAGAAGAAAATATGAATTATTACTATCATTTCACATGACAAGATATACAAAACTCTTAAGTAATATTCATTTTTACCATATTACTTAATACTTAATTTTATGACTGCACAGTGTGTAACTGTTGGTGTAAATCATTTTTAGAAATCGCTCACAAATAAATGTACCAACAAATACCTTTTGTTGCTATTAAAACAGAATCTCTGTATACACTGTTTCATACAAATTACAATGTTAACATTTCAAATTCATATGAAAAACAATAGATTATAAGAAAACATTTTATGTAATCAAGGCATAATAAGTCTATGGAATAAAAAAATTATTTGTCTACATTTCAGTACTTGACTAGATTCAGAAAACAATATATTTTTACTATCAACAATGCTGACATAGATCGCACCAAAAGTTATCATCCTGTGCTCTTCATACACATTTATTTGACAGCAACAGGCATGGAACATCTTACCCTGAATTTAAAACATTATGAGTTTCTGTATCCCAACAGGAAGGAAAATGCCATTTCAAATTTTCACTTTTTGACTACTGAACTCGAGTAATATTATAAGGCACTTATACTTATCTCCTGATCAAATTGATTTATTCAGTTAACAGTTATTTATTAGTGGATTCTAACTATACCATGAAAAAAAAACGTCTCAAGTTTCTTTTATACAAAAAGATAATCATTTAATTTCTTCAGATTTATGACAATGCCCTCAGCAATATCACAGCAAATTGTATAACTATTTCCAGTGTTCTCTCCACAAATTTCATACATCCTGGTTAAATGAGAATTTTGAAATACCATTTTTGTTTTTAGCACCATGTATCATAGCATATCCATAAAACAATCTACGTGAACATCACATTCAAATGATTCCAAATGGCCCTGGAGAGAACACTGATTTCAAATAATAATTTCAGTCGATATTTTTAATAACTTAAATTATTTTAATTACTTTTCAAATTTAAAACATTAACGGGTACACCTATAATAATAATCAGGAAGATGTCAACAATGAAAACTAACATCTTACATAGGTACTTATTTATACCATAAAAATATACCTATTTCAAAACCAATCTTTAACCAAATCATCCCCTGCAACATGTACACTTCCCCACACTCACAACACAAAAATCAAGACCCTCTCATTCAGTTTTATAAAAGATAAAATGATAAAAATCAAACAGATTGCCATTTGCAAAAAAAAATTAAATGAAAAATAAATAAAAAAAATAAAATAAAAATGTTTAAAAAACATTATTTTAACATTTGCTCCTTCTACTTGTCAGTAAAGATTGCACTTAGCTGTAGAAAAAAAATCACAGATAACTTGATTCTAAACAATATTAAACAAATATCAAATAACAATATGCAAAAGGAAAAATATCAGCCAACTAAAGGCTGTTATCACCACTTACACTTAATTTGTTTGATTTTCCTTTGGAAGCACTATTTTAGAATAATTAATTGCATAAAACTGAGCACCAAGTCTTGACTTACATATAAATCAGATCTTTATATCACATAATATTATGAATATGAGGAAATTTTTATGAGCAGAGGATGAAAATTTGACATAAATAAAACACTGAGTCAGTTTGTATACCTGAACATTTATTTCACAGGCAATCAATAAACCTACAGGAAACAACAATCACTGATATTACCTGTGACTGAAAATTCTTACATTACTCTCGTCCTCCATGGAGTTGTTAAATTATAACTTCATCTAAGCATATCTTAATTTAAGATTTTGTAAAACAGATTATGATATTAAAATTGTTGACATAAGAATTGAGATTTAATCTTATATCTATTAATTTGGTCTGCTGAAAATATATTTGATGTCAAAATAGTCAGTTGTCACAAAAATGCAATAAATATCATATATTGCACCAATCTATGCTGAAAGAATATTACATATTTTAACTGAGCCAGATGTCTATATAAAAAAAATCTGAGATTCAAAGCAATTCAGCATACCAATGAAAAATTAACTATTTATACACATTATAACAAATCCAATTATAGTCAAAACTAGAACAATGTACAACAAAGATAACTGAACACTCACAAAATATGAAGACCACTAATCTTAAATGCACAGATATTAATTCTCATAAATTACTACATTATGTCTAATCATTTGAACTTTCAAAAACTTTTAAATATTCACAGAATTTACCATATCTGAGAACCGTATTGGACAGGTACAGTAACACAACATTGTCTTGTACCAAAAAGAACAAATTTTGGAAGCATATTTACAAAAATTAATATCTTGTGTGTTTAAGACATGATTCTTTAATTATGAAATTGAAAATACATTTAAAGACATGGCAAGTTTTATATATATCATGGAAAGACACTGACAGTCAATTAAAAAGATCAAACAAAATACACTGGAATGAGGACAAAATTCTTTTTCTTTACAAAATATCGCAGGTAAATTCTATTTTTCCTGAACACTTGCATTTCTATCTATTATCTATAAAATAAAATTTACCAACAATGGATATGTTTTATAAACAAAAAATGTGTATTTCAACCCAGCAACACTATGACAAGATGATAACAATCTTAACAAGAGAGCTTATTATATTTCATACAATGGCATGTAATGTGCAAAATATGGCATCCTTAATTCTATAAGAATACTGTGCCGTAAGACACCATCACTAAAGGGGCACACTTCCAAAATCACAATTCTTTTCATACCCTGAGATCAAAGTCTTGAATACTTGTATACAGGCTGTCCTAACCACAAAAACTCTAATGAAGAAAATTTGTTGCTAAGTCTAAAATGAGAATTTTTATCCACAAAAATTTCTGCGAGTAGGACAATTGGGCAGTGTTTATCGTATACTTTCAAATTTGAATTGTTTTTATATTATTACAATCATAATGGAAGTATAATAAATTATGAACACATTCATAGAATAAATCTGAAGCGGTTAATCATTGTTTTGGAGTACTTATTAACCTCAGACAAATGTTTTGAACAAATCAAATATTAAAAAAGTAAATACTGGAAAAAAACCAGATGGTATTTGTTTTCTTCTCTATTTTAATGTGATATAACCACAATTAAAAGAAAACTCTTGAAATAATGTAACAAAATATTGAATGAAGATCAATTCACAACTTGTTACATTTACTGAAAACAATCCTTTCTATGCATCATTAAAATATATAAATGTCAGTAAGAATAAAAGAGCACATCAAGTTCCTTTTATTTTCCCTCATTTTAAATCATGTAACTGACAGGGAAAACTTGTTCATTGATGCTCATACAAAATTAACAAGCATAGAGCAACAAATATTACAAATCTGTTGCATCAGAGCTGGTTAAAATTTGGTGAGTATCAACAATGTCATCAATAAAACAGACTACCAAAAATGACAGTAAACAATTCAATATCTGAAAGACTTTGAGTATATTTTGGTCAAGATTCACACTACATGCCATAATACTGTTCCATGATCAGAAAATAACTGGTATCAAAAGTCTGCTGTTCAAATTGCGTACAGTTTTAAACATGTTAGGTTTACATTTCATGTATATTATAGTTACTGGAACTGGTCTACAAGGTATTGTTATCAGAAGAAATTACACATGTAATTTGATACCAGATATCTTCATTGTTTTTCTTAAATCTCGTCACAATCAACTGAGATTACATAAGTGGTGCCATAGATATTGGCACAACAATTGTCATAAAAATTTGATAGTACATTAACAGGACGGCATATATAGACTACACTACACAATAAAATGTCAGGCCGAGTAACCAGAGGCAGAACCAGTAAGATTGGTATCCCCAAAAATGTATGGCACTCATAACAGGAATGAATAAAAAATATACCTGTACCAGTGCTCTGATCCAACCAAAAACCCTTTAACTTACAAGTGAAGGGATCTATTTACCCCATAATAATGAACGACATCTCTTCCTTGGATAGGACAAGTTCTTAACACTAAATATGTTATGTCAAACATCTTATACTTCAATAAATTATTTTGGTCTTTAACAAGACTGTAATTTTTATAAAACAAAGTAATGCAATCAAACTTAAATGATTTTAAAATTACCATCTTAACTAATTTTGTAACTTTACAATGGCAAGAGGAAAATTTTCATTTGGAATTTCTAAACCAAATATTTCAAAATATTTATGGACAATAAAAACAAATGCAACAGCCATTGTTATCTAAATCAATTAATTACTTTTTATCATCACAATTAAAAAGAAATAATGAAATGAATGTCTAAATTTAAAATGATTTCCCTTCTACCAGAAATGTGACAATGTATGTAAAATATAACAATGGTTAAGACACAAATGAAATAATATGAGTTTATTCAACCTACTGATTATCAATTGTAAATAATCACTTTCATTTTCTTTAAGCTCAATATTCAAGGGCAAGGTAAATATTTATTTACATTTATAAATATTGATTGCACAAATAGAATACTGAGACAGTAAAATCTAATAAATACAAAATACTTGGATTTCACAAATGAGCCATGAGAAAAAAAACGCATGTATATGTTATATTATCATTGCACATTATATTTGTTTGTCTTAATTTTAGTCAATGTACAAATGTTTAATCTATTTTAACATGCAAAATGCATCAATTAAATCAACTTTAATCAAATTTCAGGCAGTAAATTATTCAACAAAATGTATAAAATGAAAAGTTCAATCTCTCATTTATTTTCATATTAGTTTTTCAATTCTTTTGCTAAACAAATTAAAAACTTCTGCATGTATGGGTTGCATGTTCCCTTTCAGCTCTAGTTATAATGTTGATCAATCAATTTTTAAAAGAATTAGTTAGGAATATACATGTACAATAAAACACTTTCTGGCAAAATAAAAAAAGATGAATTCTGAAGAAAGCAATTCTTTAGCAAGACAGCTCTTTTTTTTCATCCGATAACTTTGAAGTAATAATACAAAATCTGTCATATTATTAAAAGAATATACTTTTAAACATATTATACTTTGTACTTTAATATATGAAATCATGATGAAATTTTGTAATGCAAGCATGCAAAGGCACAACTAAAATTTGATATCTGCTCGCCAAGTTTTGGAATGTCAATGTAATAAACCTTTCATTGATTTTATGTTTGCTCTCAAACAATAACAAGTTCTTGATGCACCTGATCAATGCAAATCCTTGGCACCATAAAAAGGGTAATTACTCTTATCAACAAATTCAAGTCACTGACCTACTTCAGTAGGAAGTGACTATCACAAAATCAAATTACATTTGAGCAACAATTTAAACCAATAACATTTAAAAAAAAAATATCAAAAATGAAGTAAGTACTTTTCTTTGCTTATACTTAATGAATCACTTCCAAAAAGAAGTTTTATTTAAAAATATGATCCATAAACAAATGTATTGTGTCGATCAGGGTTTGCAAGAAAAAAAAAATTTAAATTCTTGAACATTTTTTGTTTTTACTTATTTTTCATAACTAAATATATCACTTAAATGACAAAAATTTAGGTATTGATTTAGCTAGTCATAACTTTGGTGTACCTGAAGACTGGATACAAAAAAAAATCGTCACTTAAAAAATTAGCATTTCTCACAAATTATACCTCAAATTTATTTAAGTTGTCATTATAAATACTGTAAATCATTAATATTGACAGCTAGAAACTTAATGGTAATGAAAAGTGTAAATGTTTTCAATCCATAAATAAAAATTGGGGTACTTTATCAAATAAAACAAAAAACCTTTGTCACCCCAAAAATGACCACAAGGAATTTAAAAGCAAATAACTGCTTTACAGTATATTCTCAATAAACTAATTTTTAGAAAATCAATTACTTTTTCTTTAAAATTCTAGTATATACTTTGACTTGTATCCTATCAAATACAAAATGGCAAGTCCAGATTGTGTCAATAGCTGAGTACCATGGACATGGGAACAAATTTAAACTTGGAAAATCTTACTGACAGCACCGGTTCTCCCTCACTAGTTACCCATCAAAAAAACAATTACACAAGAACAAATGTGGTTGTATAAATTGTCTGTTATTAGTTTCCCCACCAGTCTGGACCAGAGTTGTTACTGTAACTTCCACCATATGAACCGCCATAAGATCCACCATAATTATTGTAAACTGGAGCAGGCATAGGATTGCCATATCCCCCCATGTTCTGTTGAGGCTTTGGTTTACTTTGTTGACGATAATCTCTGGACCCAAAGCCAGCTCCACCAAATCTGAAAGGAAATCTTACATGAAAAGTACTACTATGTCATGAACATTTCAGTATAACTTGCAATCAATTCTTAGTGTAAGATTAATTTAAAATAGAACCCCAAAATATTTCTTTTCAATAAAAGGCATCTGTAATTTGGTTAAGAAAGCTAATAATCATCTGTATCTAGATAATTATCAATAACAGAATAGCTAGGAACTATTAGCAATCAAGTGACATGAGGGCACTAAATGACCATACAAATCATCTTTTTTAAAGAAATTACCAAAGGTTCATTTTTTTCTTTAATTTATTATTGTAATACAGAAAGAATATGCTTTTTATGCCCTTGTTCTTCAATATGACATTAAAACAAATGTAATTTTGTCCATTTTCACAAATTAACCAAAAATGCCAAATATGCAGCTTCTTTCTCAATTTGATGTGTCTGTTGCAAAAATGATAAAAATAACCATGATTCTACTGTAACCAAACATACAGACCTGCTTTTTGAGTAGCACAGAACACATTTCAAAAAGATAGCAAGACATACATTGGTTTTTGGTGTTATGTAAAGATGGTATTAGGTGTTATGAACCCATGCTAAAAGTTTTCTAAATCCTATGTTAAAAGTTTAAGGCAACATTTGATTGTTATAGTATATAATACTAAAATTTATTGGTTCATTGTATTTACTGGGCAGTATGATAACTTGTTTTATACAATTTTTTTTAAAACTGACTCATGGTTAAAAAAAGTGTTTTTTTTTGGGGGGGGGGGTTGTGTTTTGATTTTAAAACTGATGTTAATAGAAGCACCATTTTTATGGATCCCTTTGTTAAACATGACAAAAACCTATGACATTTTAAGGTTATCTACCTTTTAGATGCACCTCGTCTAGATGTTCCACTAGGTCTAGCATCATATCCCATGGATTCTAACCATGATGGCACTTCCTGATGAGATTCTACTAATAGATCCATTAAATCACGAACAATGTTCTTATTCTTTTCATTGAAGAAAGAAGTTGCCAAACCTGAAAAATTGAATCACAAGTAAACATTATCTTCTTGTACCCTCTCAGAAGCAAAACTATCACCATTGGAATTTGTTTTGTAGCGAGTTTATAATTTGAAATGATCTTTTTAAAGGATTTACAAATCAAATGATTAACCAACTTCACCTTGTTTTTAAATATAAATATGTATATGAACACACATTATAGTTATCAAATGATTCCAATATGCTATTCTGTCCAATTCAAATAAAATTGACAAGAAAGAGCACAGTTAACAATATGTTAATAAAATGCTTCGCTGGGCGCAGCTTGATACGACCGCAGAGGTCGAACCCTGAACAGTTGGGGCAAGTATGGACACAACATTCAAGCTTGATACAGCTCTGAATTTGGATTGTGATTAAATATTTGACACAGCATAGGTTTCTGACACAGAAAGAATGTGGTCTAAGAACTTCAATTTTTTTTAATTTACCTATTATGGTCCAATGTCCAAAATCAAAATACATGGTTAGATTCAGCATATCAAAGAACCCCATATATTCAATTTTTGTTGAAATCAAACAAAGTTTAATTTTGGACCCCAACTTGGACAAACTTGAAAACTGGGCCCATAATCAAAAATCTAAACACATGTTTAGATTCAGCATATCAAAGAACCCCAAGAATTCAATTTTTGCTAAAATCAAACTATGTTTAATTTTGGACCCTTTGGACCTTAATGTAGACCAATTTAAAAAACGGGACTTAAAATTAAAAATCTAAATACACGGTTAGATTTGGAATATCAAAGAACCCCAATAATTCAATTTTTGATGAAATCAAACAAAGTTTAATTTTGGACCCTTTTGACCTCAATATGAACCAATTTGAAAGCGGGGCCCACAAATAAAAAATCTAAATACATGGTTAGATTCAGCATATCAAAGAACCCCATATATTCAATTTTTGTTGAAATCAAAAAAAGTTTAATTTTGGACCCCAACTTGGACCAACTTGAAAACTGGGCCCATAATCAAAAATCTAAACACATGTTTAGATTCAGCATATCAAAGAACCCCAAGAATTCAATTTTTGTTAAAATCAAACTAAGTTTAATTTTGGACCCTTTGGACCTTAATGTAGACCAATTTAAAAAAAACGGGACCCAAATTAAAAATCTAAAAACACGGTTAGATTTGGCATATCAAAGAACCCCAATAATTCAATTTTTGATGAAATCAAACAAAGTTTAAATACTGGACCCTATCTTGGACCAACTTGAAAACTGGGCCCATAATCAAAAATCTAAATACATGTTTAGATTCAGCATATCAAAGAACCCCATATATTCAATTTTTGTTGAAATCAAACAAAGTTTAAATACTGGACCCTATCTTGGACCAACTTGAAAACTGGGCCCATAATCAAAAATCTAAACACATGTTTAGATTCAGCATATCAAAGAACCCCAAGAATTCAATTTTTGTTAAAATCAAACTAAGTTTAATTTTGGACCCTTTGGACCTTAATGTAGACCAATTTAAAAAAACAGGACCCAAAATTAAAAATCTAAATACACGGTTAGATTTGGAATATCAAAGAACCCTAATAATTCTATTTTAGATGAAATCAAACAAAGTTTAATTTTGGACCCTTTTGACCTCAATATGAACCAATTTGATAACGGGGTCCACAAATCAAAAATCTAAATACATGGTTAGATTCAGCATATCAAAGAACCCCATATATTCAATTTTTGTTGAAATCAAACATAGTTTAATTTTGGACCCCAATTTGGACCAACTTGAAAACTGGGCCAAAAATCAAAAAACTAAATACATGTTTAGATTCAGCATATCAAAGAACCTCATATATTCAATTTTTGCTAAAATCAAACAAAGTTTAATTTTGGACCCTTTGGACCTTAATGTAGACCAATTTGAAAACTGGACCCAAAATTAAAAATCTAAATACACTGTTAGATTCGGCATAACAAATAAATAAATGTGATCAAAGATTTTACAAATCTAATGCGCCATACTGTGCAATTAAAGATTACTTCTTGAATTTTTCAATATTTGAAATTTGAAAAAAAAATAATATTTGAAGAATAATTCTTTTTAATTTCTGAAATCTGAAATGAGAAAAAATTGACCCCCCACAATTTCTTTTTATCCTCCCCCCCCCCCTTTTTTCCCCCAAAAAATTCTTTCCCTCAAGATATGGTCAAAATCTCAATTCAAATTTCCAATGGAGTTGGCAACCATAATTACCCATTTAAATTTACCATAGTGCTAACTTAATCTATTTTATAATAGAATTAAAAATATAGTGTCAAATCTTTCATATGGATTTTTTTGTAAAAAAAAAGATGCAACATTTGCAGATATTTTTACTGGTCTTCCTTTATAAATATGCATTTCTTTAAACATAATTTAAAAGCAGTGTAAGGGAAGTAACCAAAACGTTGTATTTGGATTACCTCCCTTACATTGTTTTAAATTATCTTTATTGTTCATTAACCATTACTTTATACATAATTTAAAAGCAGTGTAAGGGAGATAATTTCAATGATGTATTTGATTTATCTCCCTTACACTGCTTTAAATTATGTTTTGTACTAAAGTATTTGTCCATTAACCAGGACAACCTTGTTTTTCCCCCTTTTTTGCCCCTAATTCCTAAACGGTTTGAGCCATAACCCCCCAAAGCAAATCCTAACCATCCCTTTGTGGTATGGAAACTTGTAGTATAATTTCAGAGAGATCCATACACCGTTCCACAGTTATTGTCTGGAAACTAGAAAATGCTTATTTTTGGCCCCTTTTTGGCCCCTAACTCCTTAACTGTTGGTACCATAACCCCCAAAATCAATCCCAACCTTCCTTTTGTGGTATTTAACCTTATGGTAAAATTTCAAAAAGATCCATTCACTTAAACTAAAGTTAGAGTGCGAAAACCAATGTGTATTCGGACGACGACGCCGGACGACGACGACGACGACGACGCCAACGTCATACCAATTTACGACCACAAAATTTTTTTGCGGTCGTATAAAAATGAATGAATACAATGCTTGTATACATTGTCCAAAATTTCTGTAGAATAAAATACAATTATTTTTTTTATACACATACAAAATCTAATCTCCTCCTTTCAAACAATAACAGATTTTTTCTTTGATATATATTGTATAAGAGTTACACTTGTGTTATACCCAGATTTCCTACTCTGCCAGTTCTACCAATTCTGTGAACATATTCCTCAATATCACTTGGAAGGTCAAAGTTCACCACATGTTTCACATTTGGGATATCCAATCCTCTTGCTGCCACCTTTATAATATAATTTTTTTTATCAATAACTACTCAAAAGATGTTACAAAGAATTTTCTGTCAGAATAACTGAAATTTAAACAAATTCAGGATATATCAACTCCAGTGTGTTTATGTTTAATATTTTTATTTTGTTGGTTGATAAAATGATGACTAGTTGGTCACTGTTAACATTTCCTGTTTATTCGTCCCATACTTTAGGTTGCCACTTTACCTTGAGGTAGTTAGGGGATCTAAATCAATTTAGATTTCAATTTATACATTGCCAAAATTAAGGAATTACTGCATTATATTTTTAAACTTGTTAATGACAATCATTGATTTTTTTTGTCTATTAACTAACAAAAACGTCATCTGAGATTCCACAGAACATTCCGCCAGTAAAATCAACTGAACAAATGAATTGCAAATGAAGGGCTTGTGAAGAATTTTGAATTAAAATCTTTGTCAACCATTTAACTATGGCCCCATCAATTTTAGACACAATTTGAGTTTGTATTTCATTTTTAACATCACAGGACTTAATTCTAATAAAAAGTATTAGCAAATCAATTTTTTTGGCTGAACAATGAAATCTGATACAACTATATATCTAACTTACAGCAGTGGCTACAATAATTGGTCTGTCACCATTTCTGAAGCTAGCTAATGCTTCTTCACGTTCCTTTTGTGATCTATCTCCATGAATACTGGTTGCTGGGTAACCTTCACGAATTAAGAAATCTTCTAGAGCATCAGCTCCCTTCTTGGTTTCAACAAAAACTAATGTCAATGAATCTGGACCAGCTGAAAATATAATTCAGTGCAAAGATATAGTCAGTGTGCAATAATAAGTGTATTTCACCTTTAAATATATATCCCCTACTTTAAATGAAATTCAAGTACTAAAGTTATAGTATATTGTTAACATGGTTTGATCTGACACTGTCAGAGAGACCTCATACATTTCAGGATTACGAATGCAGTATCACATTAAGTCAAAAAGACATTTACAAAGCATCATAGAAGACTGCATATTAAATGCTCAAAAATCATAACTTCCCGATAAAGTAATAATAAGACAGAATTAACTACATATAAAACTTACCTGCAGCATTTAACAAGTCCAACAAGAAAGATCGCTTTTCCCCTTCTTCTACCCACACAACTTTCTGTGTAATATTCTCACTGGTACTTCCAACTCTGCCAACAGCCAAGAAAATGTAGTTTTCCAAGAAATCTCGTGCCAGAATCTAAAATTCAATAACATGACCATATATATTTTAACAGATACAGTGATCAAAGTTAATTCAAAAGACAAGATTGCACACATTGTTGTGCTAGGCATTCCACCACTCGTAATGCAGAGTATAAAAAAACAGGAGTAGGTGTCCAACATATCAAAAGTGCCCACACATTAAATATTCTGTTCAGTAGTACTGGTGAAATGTGTGATGAAATTTTTTTAAGTTCAATCAACATATTGAAATATTTAAAGTATCAGCAAACAGGGAAAATGCTCGCATGTAACAACTCATCAATGTCAATCTTCTGAAGTCATTCTGTTCAGTGATTCCTGAGAAAGTATGACAAAAATGTTTGTTGGATGAACAGATAGACAAGGTGACTGCAATATAGCTCCCTCTTTAAGGGTTGGGGCATGATTTTTCATGGGTCTCTTTATTACTTGGTTTTATTGCTTTAGCACTTGATTTAACTTTCACTAAAATCTGGAAAATATTATCCAACATGTTAATTCTATCTATCTGACAAGTCTGTATAGCTTAGGATTTTTCTTTTATTTGCACAATTTTGATTTGCACACTGATATCTACCTGAATTTCCTTGGGGAATGTAGCACTGAACATAAGCGTTTGTCTTATACCACAAGATGGCATGGTATCTTTCTCAACAATTCTTCTAATCTGTGGTTCAAATCCCATGTCTAACATCCTATCAGCCTCATCAAGAACTAAAAATCTGCAATGGAATTAATGCACTGCAAACTAGACAAAATATAACATGATGTACTTTAGTTTAAAATAGCCAAGATAGGGTTACTCTTCATGATGCTGGTTATAAAAGTTGTATTTTGGTTTCCTTATCCTTCTTGTTACTTAAAAAGAGTGCACTCTCTGAAATGTCTTGCCTGTATAACTGATCATGTTTGAATTATAAGTTGAAAGATTAGAAAAAGTTTTACTACTGGTAACTCATATTACTTTGAAAATGAGGTCATGGTCAGATGAACCCTGCCTGACAAACATTTACACCTTACAATAAATCCATACACTAAAAGATAAGTACACCTTACAATCATTCCATACACTAAAAGATAATTGACTGATTGCTTATAGTATTTAAGAAACGCCCCAATCACAGATTTTTTATGAGGGCATGTTAAGATGAACCCTGCCAGAAGGACATGTACACCTTACAATCATTCTATACAATTAAATATAATTGACTAATTACTTATAGTAAACTAGATATGAAGTGTCCAAAACTTCTACCTTCTGTAATATAAAGCTTCAAACAAATAGTTACAAAAGCTGTCAGCTTGTAATTTATGGCATCCCTATGTCAGACAAAAATTGCTTGCTAGGATGAAATCAACAATTTATTTATCCTTGTAAAATTCAAATTTTGGATAACCATAAACTCTTTTCAAAATTCTGTCTCAAAGACTGTTTTGTTTCTTCCTTCTTTTTTTTTTTCTTTTCACCAAACATAAATAATTGAACAAATCATCTCTTTTTTCACTGTCAACAATTTCTTAACTCTTACTTGCAATGATCAAGACCAATTTTTCCTCTTTCAATCATGTCAACAAGACGACCAGGTGTGGCCACAAGGAGATGGCATCCTTTATCAAGGTCTCTCATCTGTGCTCCTATATCGGCACCTCCATAGACTACACAGGGACGAACTCGGGAACGATAAGCAAACTACAAGTATAGAATAGGAATTCAAATGTTAGAATGAACAATCGGGGTAAACAAGTTTTTATGGGGATCAGAGGTTTCCAAGAGCTATGCAACGTCCACTTATGGGGTATTCATATGCATTCAGTTATCACCCAAAGGGCAATTAACACCTATTTAATCACTCTAAATTGTCTCTATTGTCGGACTTTAAGGGATTACAATTAAAGGTGATATAATTTTTATGATCACAAGCGGTAATTAGATGAAAGTTCAAAATTTAGGACATGGTTTTGCAATATAGACACAAGAAAAATAGCATCCTCAAAATAATTATAGCGTTGCGGAAATTATTATAGCATCACGGGAAAAAAATATAGCGTCTCGGTGCCACAACACTAAAGCAGCCTAGGGAGAACACTGAATATTATACCACTCAAATAACAATTCTTAGTTGTTGCCATTCTGTATGGCACAATAGCCTAAAAATGGCTATTTAGCCTAAAGAATTAAAATGTGTTATATCCCATTCATTAAGGTACTAAGTCAAGCTTATGCATTGATTAGGCAAACACTTGTTAAGGGTTTTGTCACCTGCAAATGCTGCTGTAAGTGTAAAAGTATTAAAAATTCAAGGTATCATCAAACCTGACGTAGGTATCTGACAGATTTAAAAAGTGCCTACAGACCAAATATAAAGTCCTTCAGTTCTGTAGTACATGAGAAATGTGTGATATTTTTTTTTAAGTTCATACAACATATTGAAATAAAAATTACAAATCTGAAAAGTGCTCATACTTTACAACTCATCACTGTCAAGTTGCAAACAAAATATGAAGTTGTCCTGTTCAGTGATTCCGGAGAAAAGTTAAACGAAAATATTTGTTGAACAAACAGAGAAGGTGATTGCAATAGAGCCCAACTTTATAAGTGGTAGTTTAATATCATACTTTGATTAATCTTTAAATAAACCTGTGTTATTCCAAGAATATATCAATGGGCTCATATTTTCATCATGGGATGACAATAAAGGCCTGCCTTTTAAAAATGGGTGTAACAGTAAAACCATACTTGCCAACCTCTGAAACCTTCAAAGAGGGAAATCTCCCCCTCAGCTATGACAGCTAAGGAGGAGATTTTGCACAAACGACATTTTCAAGTTAAATCTATGACCTGTTTACTTATTCATCTATAAAACACCAATAAGAGTTAATAAATATACTTTATTTCTTCAATTCATGGTTATAATCTATACAAGGTTGGTTTTTTTTTTTTGTTGCTTTTTTCAGGTATTCAATACCTCTGAGTCTCATAACTCATAAAATTCCATATTTTGATTTTGCTGTGAGTAGCATGCTTTTAAACGTCGTACAGACCACCAGAAGCAACAGAAAAGTTGATTGAACATAATGTGCAAAATGAAGATTCATTGCGGAATGAACTTGGTCGTGTAAATTGAAAATCTTAAATCGAATCTGCTTCCAATTTGTAGTTATATTTCTTCATTTTTATACTGCCTCTTGGTCCAGACAAAGACCTCTATCTTGTTGGAGTTGACATATCATAAATGATTTTCGATTACTTATAAATTAGACATAAAAACTACTGACCAAAGTTTTCAAATGATCGCTGATTGTTTTTTTACTTATATTGACAGTAAAGAAAAAGCCAGAGAAATACGAACCTGGGTCATTTCGGGTTAAAACATCCAAATGCGGGAGATTTTATACCTCCCTGTGGGAGCAGACCAACAAGCAGGAGATTTCCGGAATTTTGACGTTTGCGTGGAAGACCCCCGCTAAAAACGGGAAGGTTGGCAGGTATGAGCAAAACTTTTTTGAAAAAAAAAAGACAAAATAAAAAAATTTAATATTTTATTTGCATTTTCATCTACAAATTTTCAGCATTTTCATTAAAAAAAAAAAAAAAATTTGAAACGGTTTACCTTTCTAGCTTCATCATAGATCTGTGAGGCCAACTCTCTGGTTGGAGCCAAAACCAAAGCTAATGGGAATTGTTTCCTTCTTCCGTACTGTCTTCCCTGTAATAATAAGTATGGACATACATGTATGTTGTGATTCATCTAGAAATACTATATTTAATCTATAACTCAGAAACTTATCTACACATGAAAATGTTGATTATAATACCAAAAAAAGTGAAGGTGAGGCAATTCCTGTCAGGCTGCTGATATGTAACCCTAACAACCATTCTATAGACCAAATAGAGTTGGCCTATTATTCATAGTAACTGAGAAATTAACCTGAAATTCAAACTTAAACTTGACTAAACCATGCAACGAGGTCCAGGTAAACAGCCTTATGCCAGACAGAAACTTCAGATTATTAGCCATTTATTCACAAAAGAAGGCTTGTATATCTTTTCTTCCTTCTAAAATATCAAATTTTGTACAATTTGTTTAAAACCTGCACTTTTAAGTGTAAAAGCATCCATAAATCTGACTGACCAACTCCAGAAAGTTAAAATAAAATTGAATCAAATTTACACCGCAAATAAAATATTCAGTTTTTTTAAAGAACCTGATTAAGGCCTCTTATAGCTTATATCCGTTGACACATTACGGACAGTGGCTGCCAAGAAGGACTATGAAAAATTCAATTCAAACTGGGAGAAAAATTCAAAGAACCATGTAAAAGTCAGCCTTCATTTTGTACCAAGGAATATTGTCTAAAAGTTCCACAAGGATGGGTCTATAATTCCAATGTTTGTGAAAAAAAAACACTGTCCATAGATGGAAGGAACTACGGATCTTTCATGGTTCTATCATATAGATAAAGGTTCACCTCTTGTGTAGCTTGTTCAGCAGGTCCATTCTCGTACACACGATTCAAAATTGGTACTAAAAAGGCAGCAGTCTTTCCAGAACCTAAAATTATATGATGTACAATTTAATTACTCAACGGTTTAACAATTGTGCATTGCAAATTCATGTACATAGTTACTGTATTAAGTGAAACACAAAACACAAAAATTTGATTACAATTTCACTGGCCTTATTGTGGGTGTTGTTGTCTTTTCATCTTTTTCTTTTAGTAATGCTATTGTCTTTCTTTGACTTATATATCTTTATTGCCTCTTTGGTATGTTCTTTTCTGTGACAATCTTGATTAAAACAGTTCTAATATAGAACAGATTTTTCCAAACAAAGGCAGTCCTACATAAGATTTATTATTTTAAATGATATTTTTTGTAGTAACTTTTTCAGTCTTACCTGTTTGTGCACAAGCCATTAAATCTCTCTTGTTTAGTACAATAGGCAAAGAATATTTCTGTACAGGTGTAGGTTTACTGTATTTGGTCAGTACAATATTATTTCTAATAATTTCTCCCAAAGTTGTTTCCTCAAACTGCAAAAAATTTTTAAAAAATAATCATGTATGACTGCTTATAATTGTTAATAATTTAATTTTGGATGTAACGCGTCTTCTGATTGGCTGACGTTGTTTTGTTTATCAGCTCATAGACATAATTTTGTCATGTGACCGTGACGTCATCAACGTTTTTTCATGATTTACTCCGGTTTAAAATGGATTTTAGAATTAAATTATAAGGAATGACTGTAATATTTTTTCTGTCTATTCGAAATAACATAAAAAATGTTGTGCACACTTTAAAATAACCCGCTACGTGGGTTATTCAGTGTGCACCACATTTTTGATGTTATTTCTTCATAGACAGAAAAAATATTACAGTCATTTCTTAATTAGCTGCAATTTTGACAGAATAAGTTGTATAAAAATTAGGGTGTTTTTAATGTTTCTAATATTTACAAGAATGAAATACTGAATACCAATACTTTGCAGCAGTCAGTTTGTTTATTTGTGTCAAAATAAGCTACAAAATAAATTGATGATAAATATTGACTTTAGACCTATTAAATTTGTATCTGTATACATGCAAAACATAAGGGGAAAGATTGACCTTAGGTGGAGATCCTGTGTGTACATGTGCTTAACATGTTTAATTATTGAAAAGAATATCAGTTGAAAAAGTGATAATAGAGAACCAATTTTGTTATCCGATTCTGCCGCAATTAAAATTATTCTTATACATTTTACAGGTATTAAATGATATTGCAACTGATTTTTCTATTTTCATTAATGATATGAAATCAAACAGAGCTAGGGCATGTATCATTATACTATTACACATGCTATATATATTATTTCAGGGTCACATCACCAGTTTTCGTAGATCAAGTTGATGGTAAGTTTGATGGCATACAGTCCCACAATAGTGATACTTTATAATGATTTCATTCATTGTTTATTATTTCTGTTGAAACTTTTGTAATTATATATGTTTTAGCATATTATTAATCAAATTTGAGTTAATTTGGTGGACCTTTATTTGGCAACTAATGCCCCTTTAAAGTAAGTTGCAACTAGATAAAGGAAGAAAACATTAATTACTACAAAATCAACTTGATTCATAAGGCTGACTTGAATGCACCTATTTTTGGTAGATTTTCATTGAGTTGTTGCCTATATCTAACATTCAGATTAAATTATCTCAAAAGAAAAATCCACATATTCATTCTTTGATATAATCAAATTTAGTCTTTTCCTGTGAGAATTACCACAATTGGTATTTAAAAACAAATTTTTTGTTTTGTTTTTACAGTCGACTCCACTTAATTGCATACCGCTTAATAGCATAATTCGGTTAATTGCATAATTTTCTCCTGCACAAAACCATTTCCCCATTTATCTAATGTTAAATTATCCGGTTATATGCATAGACTTACAAATGGCCTTTCGGTTAATTGTATAGAAATAATTGCCGGCTAGATATGCTTAGTTCAAACTGACGAGATTTTTGACCGGAAACAACAATTTGGTAAGTATATTTTTTTTGAATGCATCATTATTTTCGTTATTATTTCATATTCACTTTTGTGTTATTAAAATAAAGTTTTAAAACAGTTTCTTTCGTGTTTATATGATGGAGTTTTACTTTAAAATAAGCCTCGATGTGTACACAGGTGAAGTTTCCCATGTTCCATTTTAAGCCTCAAGGTCATAAAATGTCAAACAGGTAATTGTTGTAAAAACATGACCATTCTATCCCAAAAGGTGTTAGTTATTGATTGGATTTTAAGCATTGTCCATAGATTACATTTTGGGTGAATTTTAAAAACAATAACGCCTGCTAATTTACTTTGAAAGACCGTCCAATGTGTACTCTCGCAATTCGGCTTGGGGTGATTGGCATTTATGTTAAACATTACAGGGCACTTATATATGGTTGAAGAATTTTATTATCAATCATTCATTTTTATTATTTTTGGAAAAGAGCATTCACTTCTAATTATTATATTTTCACACGTTCAACACTCGTGTCCTGCAAATAACCTGTACAGGGCCCCTTTACCTGTTTACTGCTTTGCATATACGAAACTAACTAGGTTAAAGAAACAGTGTAACATCACTGTGCAAGCGGTAAATACTGCATATCATAGGCAGTTCATTACACATTTATTGTTAAAAATGATAATAAACTGTGTAGTATAGTTGAACAGTTTATTTTAATCAAAGCGTAATGATGTACATTATACATACGGGTCATAGAAACAAATATATTTGTAGAACAATTTGTTCTTATTTTATTTCCCAGGTAAAGAAATGTCGGTACGCAAATAAACTAAAACAAAATGTGCTTATAAACTTTATTAAAAGAATACAAAATACAATAACATGAACAAGAAATGATTGTAACAGGATGCTGTTACGAAGTCTCCCAAACGAAGCTCCCATAATTCGTAATTCCCAGGGTTGCCCGACATTGGGCAACGTCCAGTGAAAATTGGTTTGGTCCAGTAAAGTTATATGCATTAGTGATGCCTGGGGACTAACCTTGTATATCATTCAAATCATCTTGGCATGACAAACCAGAATATATATGGTTTAGGGGTGGGGATCTCAACCATTTACAAGATACTAGAACATTGGGGGTGGGGAGGAACCCCTGGGGACTGGCCCTATACGTCATTCAAATGTTCATTACACGACGAACAGGAATATATATGGTTTAGGGGTGGGGATCTCAACCATTTACAAGATATTAGAACATTGGGGGTGGGGGGAACCCCTGGGGACTGACCGTATACGTCATTCAAATGTTCGAGACATGACAAATAGGAGTATATATGGTTTAGGGGTGGGGATCTCAACCATTTACAAGATATTAGAACTTTCTCAAATGGCAGGGGGTCGGGATGACCCCTGGGGACTAACCCTGTATATCATTCAAACCATCTTAGCATGACAAACCAGAATATATATGGTTTAGGGGTAGGGATCTTGACCACTTACAAAGATATTAGAACTTTCTTAAATGGCAGGGGGTGGGGGTGACCCCTGGAGACTAACCCTGTATAACATTTGATGTGCTTTATCATGACAAACCAGAATATATATGGTTTAGGGGTGGGGATCTCGACCATTTACAAGATATTAGAACTTTCTCAAATGGCAGGGGGTCGGGATGACCCCTGGGGACTAACCCTGTATATCATTCAAACCATCTTAGCATGACAAACCAGAATATATATGGTTTAGGGGTGGGGATCTTGACCACTTACAAAGTATTAGAACTTTCTTAAATGGCAGGGGGTGGGGGTGACCCCTGGGGACTATCCCTGTATTTCATTTGATGTGCTTTATCATGACAAACCAGAATATAAATGGTTTAGGGGTGGGGATCTCAACCATTTACAAGATATTAGAACTTTCTCAAATGGCAGGGGGGAGGGATGACCCCTGGGAACTAACCCTGTATATCATTCAAACCATCTTAGCATGACAAACCAGAATATATATGGTTTAGGGGTGGGGATCTTGACCACTTACAAGATATTAGAACTTTCTTAAATGACAGGGGGTGGGGGTGACCCCTGGGGACTAACCCTGTATTTCATTTGATGTGCTTTATCATGACAAACCAGAATATAAATGGTTTAGGGGTGGGGATCTCAACCATTTACGAGATATTAGAACTTTCTCAAATGGCAGGGGGTAGGGATGACCCCTGGGAACTAACCCTGTATATCATTCAAACCATCTTAGCATGACAAACCAGAATATATATGGTTTAGGGGTGGGGATCTTGACCACTTAGAAGATATAAGAACTTTCTTAAATGGCAGGGGGTGGGGGTGACCCCTTGGGACTAACCCTGTATTACATTTGATGTGCTTTATCATGACAAACCAGAATATATATGGTTTAGGGGTGGGGATCTCGACCATTTACAAGATATTAGAACTTTCTCAAATGGCAGGGGGTCGGGATGACCCCTGGGGACTAACCCTGTATATCATTCAAATCATCTTAGCATGACAAACCAGAATATATATGGTTTAGGGGTGGGGATCTTGACCACTTACAAGGTATTAGAACTTTCTTAAATGGCAGGGGGTGGGGGTGACCCCTGGGGACTAACCCTGTATTTCATTTAATGGGCTTTATCATTTAGAACATTTTCAATTAAAAAGATTGTGTCTATCACAAACGGTTTTCAATTTATAATGATTTGAAAATTTTAAAAAATAAAATCCCATAGGGTTCTATCGTAAAACCCTCTTTTCTTTTTGCCCCTCAAAGTACCCCTTTATAAACCCCATTGCACAAACAAAACCCTGATTGCACCACTAGACATGTTAGTCTAACATATTGTGAAACCCTAAGTTAATCTGACAAGCGGTTTTGGAGAACGGGTGCGGACAAGTTCAAATTTAAAAGCGGCGGAAGAGGAAGAAGAAGAAGAAGAAGAAGAAGAAGAAGAAGAAGAAGAAGAAGAAGAAGAAGAAGAAGAAGAAGAAGAAGAAGAAGAAGAAGAATAATAATAACTGAGCAAAAACAATAAGTCTTCCCAAACTTCGTTTGGGAGACTTAATAACACGGGACTTGTTGTAAGTGGATTATGGCCGTTCATCTTTCTTCGGTGATTTCCTTTACTGTCAATGTTATTTGACTCCGTAATTTGGCATTTTGGATATAAGTATACGCCGCTTAATTGCATAATTTTGTCTAACTAATAGGCTATGCAAATAACTGGAATCGACTGTAATAGTTTATTATAGTGTTCTCCCAAAAATTTCTAAAATGATCCTGGCAATGGGAAAACTTTAAAATGAGTTTATAGCATCAATTTATCTAAATTTTATAAATAGTGTAAACACTCATAAATGTAAATCTGGTGAAACATTCACCCCATGTTATAAGAAAGATGCAGGGAGGGTCGAGATCTTTTAACACATGTTCATGTGCCTGTCTAAAATCATGAACTTGGTCAATGGTAGTCTTTGGTCATATCTTAATGGTTTTCATTTACTGTTAAATTAGTTATTCGTTTGTTGTCTCGACAAGGTTTATTCCACATCTTATATTAATAGGCACTAACTAACCAAAATGTATGTTTAGTGTATTTGTTATTGTCATTTGTAAACTTGTAAATTGTATCTTTCCTTGTGTTAGTCCTTATAGTAGATGTACCCCAAGTGAGACAGCTTTCAGACACACATATGAAAACTATTACCATGTCCTCTGCAGCCAGGGAAAAAAATTGTCAGTATATGAAATTTTATAGGCCCAATGGCTGTTATTAAGTTAGAAGCAGGTCAACTTGCATGGATTAATTAATCAATGAACAATTATATACTACATTGGCTGAATATCTGCAAGGAATCTAATCAGATGAGATAAGAGGGTAAGATCCATTAGAAAGTTTGTTGAATCTAATATTGAGACTTACAGTATCTACACATTTTGGTACATTTTCTCCTGTGGCTTCTACAGGAATATCATCATACTTGTCAAAGTTTATACCACTATTATTACCACCGAACAATTCACTGAAATAAAATTTTTAAGTAAATTAAAATTCATTATAAAGATACAATATTCCACTCTGTAATACAAAAATGTAAAGAAATATACTATTACTAATACAATTAACTATGACAATGTATTTTTTCTTATTCCTTTTATATTCAAATTAAAAAGACCGTCACCATCAGGAAAATATTTCAATTCAATACAAAATAAAATGCATTTTTTTACATTTAAAAAATGAATAACATTCTATTTATCCTTACTTTTGAAAGTTCACAGATTTTATCCACCAGTTTTAACCTTTATCAGAAGATCAAATACAATGTATCTAACAATCTAACTTTCCATATTGGTATGGTCTGTTGATTTTGAAACACCTGAAACTTTTTTGTAGTTTTCTACATCTGATCATATTTCATAGGACTAAACAAATTTTGTTCTGAAAATCAGTAGTATCGACCCTGAACCAGAAAATCAAAGCAGCATATTTTTAAAGTTCTTAGGTAATAATGAATTTCTATATACTTTTCTAGTCTGTCGTTTCTTGGAAGAGGAACAGTCCAGTTGTCCTTTGTGGCCTCAGGGTAACCTCCTTCAGGATTGTTATATTCAGTTCTATTGTCCCAACGATTATTTATCTGCAAGCCACTGTCACGGGCCTGACCTCCACCTCTACCCATATCACGTCGATTGTAGTTTTGGTATCCACCAGCTCCATTTGCTCCACCACGACCACCATCAAAGCCAGTGTTGTAGCCACCACGGTTGTCATTGTATGGTTGGCGAGAGTCATCTTTGAGAGCATCCCATCTGGAGCTGCCTCCTGCATATCCTCCAGAGAAAGGTGGTGCACTGCCCTGTCTGTTCATTCTATCACCACCACCTCCACGACCATATCTGAGACAAAGTTTACAAATTATTTTTTCTATAGGGTAATTCAAAATCAGTTCTTTTTAATAGTTGATATACAGACTGTTTTGCCACAAGTTATATGGAAGTCTTGTAATATTTGCTTGAAGGCAAATACATTTATGGGCAAAAAAACACCGTTTTGCCACAGTGATTTTTCGAAAAATCAATTGAAAAGTAATGTAAAGAAATTTTCATTAGTTAGTAAATTCATTAAGTGTAATATTACATGCTTAATCCAATTTTTATGTTTTATATTTTGTCTCAATATCATGGATACATTTTTTCCTTTTTTTATGGTTTTATATTTGTTCATGTTATGTGATACATCTCTTCCTTTTATGCGTTATATATTTCACAAGAAATTCATTATGCTACATCTATTCCCTTTCTATCTGTTCTATATTTGATCTCAATTCCAATGTGATACATCCATTTTTTTTTATTTGATCTAAATTTCATTACCATTTATATTTTGAGATATGATTAAAATAATGATCAATATATGTTTAATGTTTTATCTGAATTTTTATAGTTGTGTCTATTCCTTTTTTTAATTTGTTCATATTTAATCTAAATTACAACAAAAATCTTCAACAATTGCTGTATTCTCTTCAGGGCCTCAATTTAAAATAATAATTTACCAGCATCTTAACTAAAGCAACAGGGCATAGTTTTAAATGTGCAAATGCATTCAAAATTCAAAATCAGATTTTTGAGCACTGATTTTTATACTTTATAAGACAACAAAATACCAACCCTCCTCCTTGGTTGCCCTGATAACCTCCACGATTGTTATAGTTGGTGTATCCTGCCTGGTTCCCTTGGAAACCACCTTGGTTATAACCCCCTTGACTGCCCTGGTATCCACCACCTTGGTTACCCTGGTATCCTGCTGAGTAACCACCTCTTCCTCCACGATTGTAGGAACTATATCCACCACGATCATTTCCCATGTCTACAAAAAATAAATATTTTGTCATTGTTCATCATAAATCAAGGTTTCTCTTTCATAGATATTAAGGAAACCTTGATTGTTAATCTACTAACTGTACAATGTTTTGAGGTATTTTGGTATAAAATACTAGGAAATTCTTTAGGTCATCCTATGGAGTTTATTTATTTATGTGTTTTAATTAAGTTCTCAAAACATGCTGTTTTTCAGAGGGAACAACAATCTAGCAACTTATTCAGATTCTGGAAAACTCATTAACCAGAGGTAGCTTGTTTTGTTTTGATCTAAACTTCTGAATCTTTTCCTTGTTATCCAAAATTAAGTTTTGAAATGTAAATCTCTATGTTTATTCAAAAGGCACTTTTTCAGACCCCCCTCCCATTCATTAATTTTATATTTAAAATCTTACTACCCCCACCATGCACAAAAATATGTTTGTAAATCTATTCACTATGCTAATTATAATATAATGGTCTTCTTGTTTTTTATACTGAATTTTATCACATTGAAGTATCAGACCAGCTCTATTCTGTGTCCTGATAAAAATCAAAGCATCTAAATGTTTGATTCTTAACAGACTATCTTTGTTCTTACCAATGTGATGTTCGTGAAGATGATGATGGGAGTTTTTAACGACCTTGACTGGCTATACAGCCCTCGCACGGTCGTGAAGATGACTTGAATTCCCAATTTTATATAACTACTAGCTAGTAACTTAAAATAGATACTTAATCGAAAATATGATCTCTCCCTATTGAAATTTTACAATAAAAGATATTAAAGTCTGTTCAATTACCAATTTTTAAAATCACCATGAAGTTTTTTTAATCATGTTAATACATTCAACCATCCCTGCTTTTTCATTGTTATTTAATGACAAAGGGTCATGGAACCTTACATACCATAAAAACTAGACCATAAGTAGATCTGTGTATAAATAGGTACATTTTTGACAGAAGCTACTCCTTGATCTTCAGTTAAATAGCCAAGAAATTATAAGTGTGTAACTCATTCAATGCACAATATTTATTTAGAAATTTGATAAACATATTGTGACAGGTATGTTTTCTATGGCAGTTCTGTCCTTAAAATATAATATTACACATACAATATTTCTTATTGTGATGATCAAAGAAATCAAGGGACCCTAAACAACTAATTCATGATCAATTAAACTCCTAACAGTTGACTTTGCCCCAGCTGTCACTTAAATATTTCACACCTTAAGGGAAAACTACTATTTGTCACTCAATAAAGGGTAAGCAATGTCAATCAATATCATAATAACCTCCCTTGTATTTATTATTTAGATAAAGTGGTATGGGTCTTTCAAATCTTATATTGTTAAGCAATTTTATATAGCTAGTACAATGTAAGCAATCAAAACTGTAAAAAATCAATAATTACACAAAATACCCTTTTTTATATTTAATACAGTGTCATCTCCTTCATATTTCTTGTTTTGAGCACTTCTTGTGACTTATAAAATAACCAATGGCAATGAGAAGTCAAACACAAAATGAAAACAATGGCGGAATTCAATACAAAATATGACTGAAACTGGCTAACAGAGAACTACTAAAACACCTCTGTAGTTGCTCTTCTTTTATTTTCAATGAAAACTTTTTATTCAGAGATTTATGATGATTTTTCTTCCACTGCCATAGATCCCTTGAAATTACTTAAGATTACAAACTTCTTCCAAAAGTAAATTTCATGAGGTCATAGGGTCTTTTCTATTTCAAAAACAAAATTTGATTGTAAACATATTGTTTTAATATCTACCTGTTTCTAGTTCCATTCCATTTTTTGTTGTTAAACTGTCCTTTTGTTCAAGTCCATCTATTAAAATGTTTTTGTGTTCTAGTTAATTAAAATTTCAATAATGTTTATCAACAAAATTCACTGTTTAATTGCTTAAAAAGGACATAGTTCTGATTCCTTAGAAAGCCATCCTCTATTAGTTGGACAGGTTTAGTTTTTTGGTTTATAAACATAATAGAATTTTGGTCCATCACCAACGTAAATCAACCCCGACAACAAAAAGATTTGCAACAACACAAAGTCTACTTAATTCAGAAATACTTGTAGCCAGATGTTGTCAAAAAAGAATTGATTTCTAATACATAATCATTTAAGCTTGATAATGTATTATGACAACATTGATGTAACAATTATCAAAAATGTTTTAAAAATGAAGGACCAGACAGGCAATTCTTACTCTAGTCTATCGGACTTTAATGAGTGTGTTTCATTTAATGTAAGGCCTAAATTAAACCTTTAACCCAATTTCTTGGTTGACAAGGCAATTTTTTTTTTGTCCAAGAAATTCTTAAAGGTTATGACCAAATATCTGGTACATTATCTTACTTGGTTGACTATAGCTCTGTGGAGGTCCTCCATTCATAGCATATCCTCCACCTCCACCACCTCCTCCTCGGTTGTAGTTCTGCTGATATCCACCTCGGTTTCCACCCTCTGTAAATACAATCACAACTTTTAGCTTAAACTTTAAATAAAAATACACGAGATAACACCTCGTGCAATGTCTTCAATCTGAACTTAGTTCCATTGACAAGGTTTTATTAGCAACAGAAAATAAATAATCATCTAGTCAAATGTTCTATTATTATGATAATCTATATTTTTTTCTATATAAGCTTTTACTAATTATGATTTTAATATTGCTCATGGAAGAGAAAATGACACAAATTGTTATCATTTTTGTACATACATTGTAATGTCTGTATTGTTGATAGAAAATGATAAATTTTTGCTTCATACTATTGTGAAAGTACTTTTATTAGTTGGTATCAATCTTCATGGTTTGAGCAAAAGTTACATGTTGGTGGGTTCTTAAATTCGTTGATTTTAATTTTCTGAAAAAAATCCAGTGAAGTATTTGAAGCCATCAGGACCGAAGATTCTTGAAAATAATCATATGTTGTTTAATAATGATTTGCAGGGCATTGCAAAATAAGGTGTTCATTTTCATGTACTTGGTCTTTTATCAAAATTTTAATACAATAATTGCTTTAGAAAATAAGCTCATTCATCTATGCTTACAAATTGTCTGAATGAAGGAAATTGCAAAGTAAACATTTAATTGTTGCACACTTGAAATCAGAAGTGATGACACTAATTAACCCGAGACTGAATTTTCTCAATTAACGATCATTGAAGGTGTTAATTGGGCCATAAACATGCCACTTAAAGAAAATAGTTACATAAAAAAATGCCACAAATGTACTTTGAATTGTAGAATTAATCCTTATGAAATTAAAAAGCAATCCCAATATGATTTTTTTTTTCGTATGAGAATTAAGAGGAGATAAAAGAACACTTATCATCACCATAAGTCTGACTTTCATCGATCAAAACTATTTTTTCATGAGAATTAAAAGGTTAAAAGTCATACAGTTTAGGTTTTTTTAAGGAGTATATGGGTAAATCCTGTCTGAAGTTGTATATAATAGTTCATAGTGCGTTTGCTGATATTTGATGTACTCTCTAGATTATATGAGCGTATCCATGTAGTCAAACCTACATGGGGATCTTTCCATGTAATCAATTGTACAACAGTTGTTCTATTTTGTTAAATGCTTAAATTCATGAATAAAGCCATCCACGAAAACCAGAAAACCATGAAAATTTGTACCCCACGAATAAAAGTACTTTCACAGTATCCAAAGTGAATCCCTTTTTCTAAAATGACATCATCCTAAAGGTAAATGTATATGAAAAGTAAATCTGACATTACCAAAGAAAAGTCTTTTTCAGTGCAGATACTGTATGTTTATGTACATGAAATGTGAATTTGATAGTGATATAAGCAAAGACAGGTCTTCAAGTTCAATGTTTTAGATCATCCTGTTTCTGGTGCATTTTTTTGGTACACAAAACAATGTCTTTTTTTGGTTGTTGCTGTCCTTCAACCTTACCAGATCAAAATTAACAAATACAATGAGATACCAATATATTTTTTGGAACAACTGTGCATTTAGATTATTTTTCAATTGGTAGACAACCTTCTTTTCTGTTTACTAAATGTACTTGATTTTCTTTTAAGTTGTGATCCCTTTTTTGTACTATGGGAAACAGACAGTGCTCTAAGCTTATTCAGGCCTATTAAAATACAAACCTTTTTGGTCATTCTGCGGGGGTGGGACATTGGGTGGTGGCCCTTGTCCAGCATTTCTCACATGGGGTGGGACATAACGGGACCCAGAGTCGTTAAAACCTTGTCCTTGTTCTGCAAAGAACAGTTTGGACGTAAGTTATAGAACACACACCACCTTGAGAAATATCTATATTGTTATTATAGGTGCACATTAATTACTACCAATATCCAAGACATTAAAGATCATTAAATTTTACAGAGTATTTACAACTCATACAACTGGTAACATAAAACTTGAAAATTTTAATCTAAAAATGGTATTAACTTGTTTTTATGACTGGAAACTAAAATTTGTCTAACCACCTATCAAATAAAAACAAAGCTGGTTTCACAAGAGCAATCTTTGTGATAAACTTTTGCAGACTAAGACCTGACTATCATTTTTTGGTAAATTTGTATAGATCTATTGGCAAGTACGAGAAATTCTTACAGACACTAAAAATATTAACTACCTTGGCTGGTGGGCCTGCAACCAAGAATGCAGACTGATTAAAGAGAAAATCTTAGGTAACTTCATTTTAAAACTCTTTTACTCATATATAGAAACCATAATAACAGTGTATACCTTGTAACCATATTTGTGCCTAAAATCTTGAAATGTCAAAAATGTCATTTTTAGTAAAAGGTGGCAGTCACATTTTTTGAAAGCTTTAGGGGAAAGGACAAGTTAAAGCTTATTCTCAACTGGTTGAGTGGTTTAAGCAAAGATGTTTGAAATAAATAACTATAAGTATTACTGCCAGTTGTTGGCAAAAGATCACAAAATTTTGCCCTTTTAACATTTGAGCTAAATTTGTGGGCCAGTGACTATAATTGCATATTTTGAAAGAATAATAGAAATTGATTTTAAAATGATTTTCAAAGCAAACCAAATAAAATTTCCATTAAATCAATAAGGCTTGTGAACTGTACTGATTAGATTATCAAAATATAACCATTTTTTCCACTGAGATTTTCACCAGTTAAACATATGACCAGGTGGTGTTAAATCTATTTTTTTATTTCACGTTACAGATTTTTCTTTAGACATGATGACAGCAAAGATGTTTAAATGATAATTATTAGGAGAACTTAGATGTTGATTGCACATTTCTCAATTCATTTCAATTGTAGTGGCAAATTTTTGAAAATCAATAACTTAAATGTTGCTGAATGATTTAAGTTTAAGGCAACACATGTTTTGGTCAAAGACCTGCCAAAATTTCAAAAGGACAATAAAATTGCGACTAAAGATTGATGAGGTTTCCGAGTTTAGATATAGTCTTATATCTCAAGCCAGTTTGATGAAATCTAGGGTCAAAAACTCAAATATCTCATCCTCAGATTTCTTTTCTAATGCTATCTTTATGTAGAGAAAGTTAATGATTTTGATCGTTTTGCATTCCAAATTGTTGTAAAACAGTCCAGTTATTTTGCCAACACAGGTATTTTATTGTTTAACTTAGATGACTAAGGTACTTTTTAATGCAATTCTATTGACCCATTGGAGGGATAATGGAACAAAAAGATTGTTAAAATATCTTGCATGACTTGACAAGTTGATTATGAACAATTTTTTGTACAGCTTACTAAATAAATAACATTGTGTAAAGTTGTATTTCAGTTAATAATTAGCAACGTTTTTTCATTTATTAATTTTTATCTACTATAAACTAATATAGATTTGTAACTTATCTATAAAATGTCAACAATATTTATCTACACAATGTAATGTAATATATACATTAATAAAAATAGATTATTATCTAATTAAAGGATTTCCCTTTATTATTCTTTTTTATATATATAAAGCATTCAGAAAATTAGTTTATACAAAAATAACAAACAAACCTGGCGAAAAATTCTTCAAATAATTTACCAAAGAATGTCTTTTAAAAAGATGAGTTATCTCCCTTTGTACAGAAATATGGTTTAACATAGTACTCTAACATTAGATATGGTCCATAACTCTGGACTAAATCATCAGACCGGAACAAAATTCGAACTTGATCTATAACTTGTCATAGAAAAACTATATACCAAATATCAAATCAATATCTTCAAGAACGAAGAAAAAAAGTGTGGAAAGCTGATTTGCCGGACTGACGGATAGACAGACGGACGGACAGAGTGCAAACCTAAAGTCCGCTTCGACTTCGTCGGTAGGGGACTAAAAACAAATTTCTAATAATATGTATTTCATTACCATATTCATTGATATTACAGTTACAATGACTTTTTAGTTTTATGTCTCTTTATTGAATAAAGCTTTTACTCTATTTGTGAACTACGATTATTCTTTTCAAGTCCAGCTTTGAACAAAAAAATCAATGTCACTGGTTTGTTTTTTATTCACAAGCTTAAATTTTTTTTTCATTTACCCAAGCATAAAATTATGCACAACTGACCTCTCATCACTTATATTGGTGTGATAATTTTAAAAAGCCTTTTTTGATACCAACAAGCAGATAGCTTTGAATGAGGATGCAATAGGTACATAATAAAATGTATAACAATCTGATAACGTGTCAAATAAACAAAAATATTGATCACTTGATTTAAGTACAGGTGTTTTTTTAATTATTGTGTCAGACATTTATCCCTGCAGCAATTTTTGACAGGTGTGAAGCATTTCGATATATTGATTGAACGTCCAGTGGCAATTATTTGATGCATTTGAAGGATTAGAAACTATTTACAATTTAATACTATGGTATAGGTTCTTTAAAGGGGACGGCAAGGAAGATAGTTGGGAAAGTTGAACTGCCACTTGAAAACAATGGTATGTTGCAACTTTGATAGGGACAGTAATTTTGCCTTCAATGGACCACCTACAGACCACTCAAAGAGTTCCAACACAGTGGTTCTTTCACATACAGAGGGTTTAACACTCTCTCTACAAGAGGCATCAGATAAAAACATCCCCATTTTTACAGGATGTGGCTGTGAATTTTTACACCCCTCACTGTCAAATGGACAACCAAATTAGGAAAAAGGTTTTATGGTCAGTTGGATGAAGACCAATATATCTATATCCTTGTGTTCTGAAGCAATTGGCATTAGAGAACAAATTTTGCATTGTTTATTTTACTTTCAGATTGTAGATTTAGCGTCAAGTCATGAAAAATTTAATCAAAGGAAGTATTAACGGTACTTGGAAGTGAAACAAAGATATAGTATACATACATAGTAAATCACTGAATTTTTGTTTTATTGATGCTAAGTTTTGTTGTAAATTTTTATTCTTATTGATTTTTATTCATAAAAATAACTACATGCATTCATTTCTAAAATAACAATAATTGCTGAAAGCACTATACTAAAGCCTCACTCTCAAGAAACACTGACAAAGTTTCCAAATTGGTTCTTCAAATTTTAAGAACACAACAGGACTGTTTGTGTGAAGCAACATTTAAGTACAACATATACTGTAATATATTCATTTATTCATACATTTTCCATTCAGGAATGACTAAGAGATGGGAAGAAAATACAAAACAAGATTTTCCTAAGGTCTTTGTGGGCCAAATAAGGCCCTTTTTGAAACAATTAAGGGGCCTTTTTGGCCCTTGCAAATAAACCATAGGAAAATCCATTGAAATAAGAATTATAAATGTGCATGCTATGTTGAAAGCTTGAACATTTGATAATGATCCCACCTTTGTAGTTGGGAGGTGGTCCCTGAAATCTGTTAGCTTGGTTAGGCCAATATTTCGGTGCATCTACAAAACAAATGTATTAATCTTGACTTACTTATTATTTTTTTCCTTTCATTTTAGAATATTGTATTCTAATTTGATGGAACAATATGATGATTACAAATAATATTGCTCTCATAAAATCTGAACACCTTATTCTTAATAAAGCATTTTTTCATCCAAAAACAATAAATCATTCTACTGTTTTTTTACAATCCTGCTGCTAAATACATTGAAAGATTAAATATATGTTTGCTGTATTCAGATACGAAAGAGGACATGCCGAGATGTCTCATCAGCTATCATAATTCAATTTTATGTTGAAAGTTTTAAGATCAAGGTTTCAATACAGGTATCACATTGACATAAATTTAGCATTATCAAGGATCCATGAAAATAAGGCCTAGGTCAGATGAATGCTGCCAGACAGACATGTTCACCTTTTAACAACTCAATTCACCAAATATAGTTAACCTTCTGCTTATAGTATCTGTGAAAGGGACCTAACCAATGAACCATGAAAATGTGGTCAAGGTCAGATGGCTCCGGCCATATGGACATGTACACCTTACAATAAGTCCATAAACAAAATATAAATGATCTTTTATTTATTGTATCATTAAAAATGACCTGACCACCAAATATATGCATTGATCAATGAAACATGAAAATGAGGGCAATGGTCATAAACTGTTATCACAGAGATATGCCTCACCTTTTTGTAATTTTGATAATGCAAATGTTGAAATTAAAATTGCAATACTTTAACATGTAAGTAATGCAAAAATTCAAAGTCGATGAACCATGACTGAAGGTACATGGCTAAACAATCTCCATGGAATGAGATGTGCCAATGCTAATAAAACTTCATACAAAATACCATTGACTTCTTATAAGTTGATCCCTTTAATCAAACCTAAACATAAACATTAACTTGTAAACTATGTAAAAGTTTCAAAGTCAATGAACCATGATCAGGGGTGGGGCTATATAATCTCCATGGAAACGATACTTGCAAATGCCAATAAATTTGCATACCAAATATCAATGACTTAACAATAGCAGTTCATCTTAAACTGATCTAATCACAAACTAATACATGTAAACTAAGCAAAAGTTTCAAAGTAAATAGACCATGACTGAGGGGGCGGGGCCAAATATTCTCCATGGAAATGAGATGTACTAATGCTTATACAACTGAACACCAATTAACATTGGCCTACCACTAATGGTTCCCCTTGAACTGACCTAATCACAAACTAATACATGTAAACTTAGCAAAATTTTCAAAGTCTATAGACTATGACTAAGGGGGTGGAGCCAAATAATCTCCATGGAAATGAGATATGCCAATGCTTATACAACTGCATACCAAAATACCAAATATCATTGACCTACCACTAGTGGTTCCCCATAAATTGACCTAATCACAAACTAATACATGTTAACTATGAAAAGTTTCAAAGTCAATAGACCTTGACTGACGGGGTGGGACCAAATAATCTCCATGGTAATGAGATGTGCTAATACTAATACAACTGCATACCAAATATCATTGACCTACCACTAGTGGTTCACCATGAACTAGATCTAGACCTAATCACAAATGAATACATTGTTGACGCCGACGCCGCCGGAAACAGCATACCTATGTCTCGCTTTTTGACTCTGTCAAGGCGAGACAAAAAGGACATGTACACCTTACAATAATTAAAAATAAAAAATTTAGTTGAGCTTTTACTTGTAGTATCTGTATTTTAGAAGCAGACTTACATGTAACCTTGAAAACTATAGGTTCCACAATGAACCATGAAGGGTCAAGGTCAAATGAACACTGCAAGAAAAAATGTACGCCTTACAATTATTCCATACACCAAATATAGTTGACCTATCTGAGAAACAGACCAAACCTTGAAAATTTAACATTCCACAATGAACCATGAAAGGAGGTCTAGGTCAAATGAACCCTGCAAAAATAAAACATTTATATCTTTGAAGATTTCTATTTACAAGATATAGTCATTCTATTACTCAAAGTCTAAAAATCATGTTTTTTTTCAAGCAGTTGATGAACCATTAAAACAAGGTCCAGGACAATGGACATTGTGCCAGATGGAAACTTCGGGACATAAGGCATCTGTATACAAGATATGAAGTACCCAGGACTTCTACCTCTTTAACTATTCAGATTTGAACAAATTTTTTCAGCCGTCACTGTAACAGGATTAGGATCTTGTCTTGCATTCTAAGACTTTGTTTGCAGGTGAGATAAAATCCAAATTAACCAGGACTATCGTGTATTTTATTTCAAATACAAATGTATAAATCTGAAGAAGCTCCAAGTGTCTTTTTGTTTCTTGCTCAAATTTTAGATACTCAGTTATTCTTCTTCACATGTTCTTATCAGAAGAGGATAATAAATGTAGGATGTCTCACTAAGAACCAGTAAAACATTTTGTTTCATTTTGTACCGTCTATCAAATGAATATGGGATAACTTGGTCTGGAGACAAATCAGACCAACTGACGACTCAACTCGGACCTTCTATAAAGTCAAAGCTGACAGTCTATAATGTCAATTGAATTCATGTGAATTTGTTTATATATTTGTTGAATTTGTTATTTATTATCTGTTTTTTTTTATATTTAAATTTCATTGCATATTTATTTGGTATTATACCTAAAGTTGTCAACAAATCAACCTTGATCGTATATAAATTCAACTCAGACCGTCAATAATGACAGCTTAGACCACGCATAAAAACAGAATGTGGGATGCTTAAATGATGAAATGATATATTTAACATAACAGTATTCTTTATACCTTACTTCATTTTCAAATGAAGTGCTGTGCCAAAAAGAATTGGTTTATTGTAAATTCGATTTCTTCTTCATTGTGGTGATTCTATAGTCTAAATAAAATCTTCATCAATAAATTTTTAACCAACTTACTCAAAAGGTATCATCTTTTAAAATCTGGATTAATGAATTAACAAGAAGAATGTGTCCATAGAACACGGATGCCCCACTCCCACTATCACTTTCTATGTTCAGTGGACCGTGAAATTGGGGTCAAAACTCTAATTTGGCATTAAAATTAGAAAGATCATATCATAGGGAACATATGTATTAAGTTTCAAGTTATAAGATATAGATCAATATAGATCAATCACTGTCCATAGGACGGTCTTGAATTTCTTTATAGACTTGTCTGTGTTTTTTTTTTGGTAGACGGTCATATAATCATGTAAATAGCCCAAACTATCTTTGCCTGAGTCAACATTATAGACAGTCTAGGTTGACTTTACAGTCTGAGTAGTCTTTTTTGTAGACGGTCCGAGTTGTCTTGTACCCCTCTTTAATCAATATATATATATATACTATTGTATTAAAGTACATACTTAACAAAGTAACCTCCATTCAGCACTGCAAACTTTCAAATGTTTTACATAATATAAAGGTAACACTACAATCACAAAAGAAGTGAATTATAACAAAAGGTGTTGTAAATTTTAGTAAAATAGAACAAGCCAATATAACTTACTGTTGTAGTTGTTGTAAGGACGACTGTTGTCTCCTAAGCCTAGACCAGCAAACTGCAAAATAAAACATTAAAATCATATTTGTAGTAGTTGTGAACAAATAAATACCTGTAATCTGGTTTCATTAAAAGTGTAGACTGCTTAAAAAGAGATATGAGAGCGGAAATGAATCATGCCCACTGAACCAAAGGAAAGTAAATATTAAATGAATTGGGCTTCAGATTCCAGCAATACTTGACATTGGAAAATAGGTGACGCAGTACCAAGTGAGATACCTTATCTCTTAATAGTCTTTGTATATAATCAGTGACCGCTGTGGATAATACACTAGTAATTAATAGTGGAACACAAAAAATAAAAAAGATTTTGGAAAGTATGTCCTGTCCACCAAGTAACTGTGCTAATATGCTGAAAACATTAGGGTAGGTAAGTCATGTGTCAGTAGTAGTCCAAATAATTATGACATCTTCCTGTGATGTCATAATGCTGAAGCCATTTTTTTCGGTTGGACTTTAGAGAGATATCTCTCAAATTTGAGACCCAATTTTGCCATGAAATCTCACTGACAACTAGAAATATTAGCATATATATATATATTGTTACCTTTTTTATGTTGTTGGTGCAAAATTATTACAGTAATTTTCAAAAGTAATGATAAATAAGTTGTAATATCATCCAAAGTATGGATGACCTACTGCAATTTTAAAATGGTTGCCCTGATTTCCCAAGATGCTTCACTTTCGGAGAGTTTGAAATAAATTTTAGCACCAAATTCATTAAAATTTGACAGTCTGGGATAATATACAACAAATGTTCCAGAAATTTCAGGTCTGTCAAATTTTACAGAGTTTGGTGCAAAATTTTTTATATACTCTCCGAAAGTGAAAATCTTGAGAAATCAGGAAAACATTGTAAAAAAGCAGTAGATTATCACCCGCGTCAGATGGAATTGTAACTTATTTTATCATTACTTTAGGAAATTATTGGAATTGTATTGCACTTTGTCAACATAACACAAAAATTTCTAGCCGTTGGTGAAGATTTCATGGCAAAATTGGGTCTCAAAGGTTGAGAAATATCTCTCTCAAAGTCCTTGGATCTGATAAAAATCGCTTCAGCGTTATGACGTCGCAGGAAGGGGTCACAGAAAATTTTTTTAAATAGCCTTTCAAGACATCATAATTAGTGTTGGTAGGCAATTTAAAAAAAAAAATTCTGATTCATTTTAACAGGAGTCAGACTTTCATGGTTTAAGTTAAAAAAATTACAAACAATTCTGAAGGATGGGCACTAAATATAAGTCGGAAACACATTTTTTTTTTGGGGGGGGGTCTTCTGAAATATATAATTTTTTAAGGACATAAAACACCCTCGCTTAAACATCACCAATTCTGGATCCGCTAATGAACCATGATCTGATGATGGCCCTCCTCTGTCAAGGAAAAAATTGGATTTTTTCGTCTTTCGTCTTACTTGTGAATCAAATCCATATCGACGCTATAAGTCCGAATGTGAACAAAGGCAATGGTATTTTTTTCAGGCATCCGCCATTTTAAGACGAAGCGGCGCCTCGCCACACGAGCTTTTTACTTCATTTTCGCATTAATTAGAATTTTTTAGGGTCTTACTTCCTCACAACTATGAATGTATTACTATTTTACCTGCTGTTCTAGACCCTGTCCATTTTGATTGGGAGCATTTGACATATTATAGAAGTTTATGATGTTCTGTTCTGTAACGATGTTCGGCCTCTTGCTTAGTGGTAAAAGGACAAGGTCATATCAGCAGCACGGGTCGGAAACGTGATTAGGGACAAGTCAATTCACAATTTAATCGAAGTATTAAAGGAATAATTTTCTTTTACTTTTCTTTTCCTATCTTTGGATTAAAAAAACTAAACCTTATTTTTAAATTGTACTATTTTTTGTCTTAGAAATTTAATGAAGTGATATCATCCTTATCTTAGGACCCACGATCTTTAAAAAAAAACCAACACAATAATTTCCCGTGTTTGAGCCGCGTCGGAAGTTGCCGATTGTCACTCGTCGCTAAAACGGTCGATTCCGTAACTTTATTAGTGTTAAAAGGACATATCGGCGGATTTACCCGAGGATTGCCTATTGGTCGATTATTATAACTCGGTCTTTTCCGTGTTTAAACGTCTTGAATCTCATTTTTTCACCCACGTACCTTGTGATATTTAAAGTATATAGGAATTTTTTAGACAAGTGCCTGTTCCTGAGACCCTACATTACTGGCTTCTGGCTCAGGCTCAATATTGAATTTGATGCCGTGAGTTTGAATATTGTAGTTGGAACTTTTTGATTTCAAAGATATAATTAATACATATACAAGTATGATTTTCATATGTAATATTTGGGACACAATATCATGAGTCCCAGGTATTATTAATGTCTCTGGTGATCTAATGATTTATTTTGATTTATGCGCCCTTTGCAAAAAGTGTAAAAATTGTAAAAGCGTTGACTGCCGAAGCACATTTTGTATGACGCGCTTCCAGTTAAAATGCATGTGCGCACGATCAACGCTTTTACAATCATATAAAATCATAAAAAGAAGCATTCATTTCTTACTTAAATATGGCATGGTATTGGTTGCAAAAATTTGATATTTTTCATTTAAATGCCATTTTTCTTATTTAATTGGTATATTTCTTCATTTAAATGCAATATTTTTTTATTTGAATTGTATATATTTTCATTTAAATGCAATATTTTTTATTCAAATGGTATAATTTTTCATTCAAATGGTATAATTTTTCATTCAAATGGTATAATTTTCATTCAAATGCAATATTTTTTATTCAATAGGTATAAAATGTCATTTGAATGCAATATTTTTTATTCAATTGGTATAGTAGTTTTTTTATTTATATGCAATAATTGCATTATGGGAAATTCTTTGACGTCATAAGGTCAAATTTGCAACAACGTTTGCGATTGGTCGGAAATTGTTTGGATTTCACCCCTTTCTTTCTAAACATGGGTGACCAAGAATTAAAAAACGCGTCAGAATATCGCCCCTCTAACCAAATCTAACGTTCGTGCGAGTCCTGCACTGGCTGTTAAAATCTTGTGGTCATAACTAGTATTTCTATTGCAAAATTTCGATGGTCAAAACGTTCTGTCCACTTTTCAAAAACCGTTTCATTGTATGATAGACACCGTTGGTTTTCCCGTTTGAATGGTTTTACACTACTAATATTTTGGGGCCCTTTATAGCTTGCTGTTCGGTTTGAGCCAAGGCTCCGTGTTGAAGACCGTACGTTGACCTTTAATGGTTTACATTTACAAATTATGACTTGGATGGAGAGTTGTCTCATCGGCACTCATACCACATCTTCTCATATCTATATACAACGTAAACCAGACGTTTCTCAGACTGTTTTCTCTTTTTAATAAATTCTTTGCCGCGCGTTGTGTACTGATTGATAACTCAGTCTGGGAGAACAAGATTTATTTCAGTACCAGTTGTAATTAGGTTTGAGCAAATTTAAAACTTCCAGTAATTGCAAATACTCTTATGTCGGTGCTTTGTGCCTATTGTCTTAATGTTAGTTTTTTTTGTGTGTCTCGTACCGATCTTTTGAGTTAATTTGCTGATTTGTGTAGGTTGTTAATTTATTGTACTGTTACACCACTGTCCCAGCTTCGGGATGGGTTGCTCACAAACATGTTGTTGTACTGTTACACCGCTGTCCCAGATTAGGGGGAGGATTGGGATCCCGCTAACATTTTTAACCCCGCCACATTCTGTATGTATGTCCTTGTCCCAAGTCAGGAGCCTGTAATTCAGTGGTTGCCGTTTGTTGCTTGTTATACATATTTGTGTTTCGTTCATTTTTTTGTACATTAATTCGTCCGTTAGTTTTCTCGATTGAATTGTTTTACATTTTTGATTTCGGGGCCTTTTATAGCTGACTATGCGGTGTAGGCTTTGCTTATTGTCGAAGGCCGTACGGTGACTTATAGCTGTTGATTTCTGTGTCATTTGATCTCTTGTGGAGAGTTGTCTCATTTGCAATCATACCACATCTTCGTTTTTATATCCACCCTGCCATATTCTTTTTTTGCCTGTCCCAGGGATGAAGCCTGTAGTTTAGTGGTTGTCGTTGGTTCCTGTCTCGACTCATATTTGATAGTTTGTAAATTGTTTTGTTATGTATAATTAGGCTGTTAGTTTTTTCGTTTGAATTGTTCACACTTTTCATGTCGGGCCTTTTATAGACGACTTTACAGTATCAGGTTTTTGTCATTGTTGAAGGCCTTACGATTGTCTACAAAAAGCATTTGTCTATATGACGGCAAAAAGCTCTACAGAGCTTATTTTTGTAGTATTTCATGTAACCCGACTTAAAATAAATTTTTCTTATCTTATCTTATCTATAATTGCTTACATCCACTTCATATTTGAACTCCGGTGGATAGTTGCCTTATTAGCAATCATATTCCATCGCTTCATTTTTATATTATATACGTGACTTCTAAACTCGTGTTTTCCTGAACAAGCATGAAATAATTTTTACTGGGCGTTAAAATTAGCAACAAACAATCAATCAATTTAAACTTGTGTTAAATAAGAGGAAAACCATTTGATATTTATTTATTTGTTGGGGTGGGGGACAGAAGGATTTCATATATGAATATGGTTGCCTGGTAAGAGCTGAAAAATAGGCATGATTAGCGACAGATTGAAATGAATAATAATGCCCTCTCTTCCCTTCCCCATCCTTCATCTATAAATTTAAACTGACCACCACGGAATAGCCCAGTAGTGTTGAAAGTAGCGTTAAACACCAATCAATCAAAATCCCTTCCTAGAATATCAAATAATCGTCCCTTAACTGTTATTGTCCGTGTAGTTCTTATATTTATCCAGCTTATCGTCCTACAGGGATGTCCTACTAAGGCTGTCATACGTTTATAAAACAGCTCACATTCTAATATATCTGCATTCATAAATTTATTAATTTCATTTAGACTAAACGACGCCATGTTTGTTATGTGCCTCTGCCGTCAACCTATCAAAAAAGAAGAGGTGGAAGAGAGCCAGAAGATCTTCCCACTGCAAAAAAAAAAAATTTACTTCTTCTGGCTCACTTCCGAAGAACAAAAAAAAAGCGCCCCATTGGTATGTTTTAAAAACGCCTTGCCCCTACCCTTTTTTCCAAAAAAAAAAAAAATGGCATTATTAAATATATAAACATATATATAATCATCAAAATTAATATGCTATTGTATTTTTATAAGACCTACTTTATTACATGACCTGGGACTAATGACATCTATCTATAAGTCCTAGCATACATTAATTATTATAATATGAATATGTTTCTTGTTTTAATAACCACATATGATGCTATGCATGAGTCACCATTTATCAGGACATTACATGAATTGGGTTTACATAGAGAGGATAAGGGACGACATCAGAAAATCAATGAAGGATAAAAAACTTAATTCAAATATTTTTTTTTTGGGGGGGGGGGGGGTCAAAATTGCTGCAAGTTTTGTTTAATTAACATCGATTTTATATATATCCTTATTGGTCAATAAATTTTTCCCGAATTAAGTGAAGAGGGGGGGGGGGGGGGGTGGTAGAGGGTTAGCGAAAAAAACTATATGAATTAAGTTATTTTTTATCCTACATTGAACTTTTGATGTCCCTAATGTGCAAAAAAATAGATAAGGGGCGGGACCAAACCTATAGATAACAAAATAAAGAAATGATGAAATATACAGAATACGTTGATTGACTTTTGGTTGCCTTATGTCCAGTGGCAAATATGTCACGCATGTTTAGGACAAATATAATAGAGATCAAAGGATAAAGAATAGAGTGAAATGGTAAAAACTAAAAGATATAGAATTATAGAAACGATCTTTGGTCTGAAACCTCTACCCTCACACACACACACCATAACCATTACTGCCAATACTCGCATATATACATCTCTATACAAATATCTAAATTTGAACCTACTCCCCCCCCCCCCCCCCCACCCCCCCCCCCCCCCCCACCCCCCTCTAGACACCGAGGTTTTGGATCCGCCCCTGTTAAATGTGTCTAATTATATACATTTTGTATGGGTCTAGATAATAGCTAAACGTACAATTATATAATTTGTTGGATACCTATATAATGTGTCACAAAATAAACTTGTATACCCCCTCCCCAATGTAGTATTGAAAAGTAAATCATTTAAAAGTCCTGAAGATAAAATATGTTTTGAAATATGCCCTGCATACTTATTTATGCAAAGACATATAGTAATTATTGAACTACTGTGGGGCTTCAAAAAAAAATCTATTTAAGGGATTCGGAGACGAGAACAGTAAAAAAAAGCTCAGCAACGAATTCTAAATGTAAAATGATTTGCAGCATAAGACATGAGAGCACATATTATAGATAGTATTAAATATGAAGTTCACGCCTCCTATAGTGAAGTCCTATGTCATAGAACTATTGTTGTAACATGGGTTAGTACTGGTTCCAATTTATCCTGAATTGTCTTTATTAAAGAATTAGTTCCGGAGTATAACAGCTTATGTCTCTACTTGTGGGTTTCTGGTTCTGCTGTCGTAATTAGGTGATTTTTTTTCTACATGTAGTAAAAAAGAGGGGGCTTAGTCCAAAAAATTGTAACGTCCTGGATGCTTTTTATTCTTTTTTCATGTGTGCCTTCCTGCAACGTCTCAGCTGGGGATCAAGAAATGTAAAAAATGATATAGCACTAAAGTACGTCA